GTTATTCTTTCAGAACTAATGATCCATAGGGTAAAAAAGTAGAGCTCGTGTGTTTCTTGAGTCCGGTACCCATCAGAGTTTGGTGGAATCAGGGATGGCCTGTAATCTCGATTCCGCGCCAAGATCCGAACTCTAGACCTTGGGGCTAGCCGTCGAGCTCACGACAACCCGGTCACGTCGTCTCAAGAGAAATCAAGTTTTTCTTTCGCCCTAGTCCCTTTGACAGCGATACATCAGAAATGTACTTTCCATCTTGCGAGAGCACAGCGACATTGAAGTTGGCGTGTAGCAAACAAATTCAATGAACAAATCTCAGTGACTTAGAATACTAAACGCGGCCATAATTCAATGAACAAATCTCAGTGACTTAGAATACTAAACGTGACCATAATTCAATGAACAAATCTCAGTGACTTAGAATACTAAACGTGACCATAATTCAATGAACAAATCTCCGTGACTTAGAATACTAAACGTGACCATAATTCAATGAACAAATCTCCGTGACTTAGAATACTAAACGTGGCCACAATTTGTGTTGAGTTAATCAGTTCAATCAGACATCATTGTGCCAACAAGTCTCAGCCTACTTGAGTCAAAAAGTGCCATATTTTATGTTGTCTTTGTTTTCGAAAGAGAAAGTAGCTCAAGTATAGGCTTAGAGCACGGGCTCCCAATCTATGGGTCGCCAGTCTAAAATGTTTGGGAACCTGTGATTTAGAGAATCTAGAAATATGACATTGAACTTCCTCTAAATTGATTATTATTTTTAGTTTAATTTCACTAGAGCTTTGTATTTTAACTGTTAGCTGCGCGTCGCAATCATTGAACAACTAAGCAACAGCACCATATAAAATATTTTGTAAAAGTCACAATATTATAAACTAACCTTAACAAACTGAGTAAAGAAAACGTTAGTAACTGAAACATGCCTTTGAAATGTAAAAGGTGTAGGCCTATAGGCCTAAAAAATAAAGTCAAGATAGATAAGTGTAAAATTTCGAGCCAAGCTTCAAGTATACGCCCCTTTCTATAGCCGCTAAGATAGCTAAACCTTACGGCAAAACTTTCAAACGTAATTAAAAAAGCGCTTTGACGTTGTCGCGATTAAGATATAAAGACTTCAATTTAAAAGCTAGTCTGTTTTTATATGAAAGTAAAATGTTTTTGTGACCGTATATTTCACGTAGCTACTAAAATATATATTTGAAAATCACTTCCATGCACTCAATAAACCAGTCTATTAAAATCCAATAAGAAATTAGGATTAACAGATAGCTCTTGGCTTGATTTATAGTGGCCAATCTGGCAAGTCTTCCCGCCCCGATCAGCGCGCCGTCTCCGTGGATTAACGGCCCCCAAATTTACGACCTCTGTCGTGACGAGTATGTAGCATGTATCTGGCATGGCTCCAAATTTGGTGAAAATTAAAAGACGGTAGAACTGAGGGTGTATGGGGGGGGGGGGGGGCATGTGGGAGAAGAAATGTGCTAAGAATAAAGGGATTCTTGAAATTGTGTTCTTTTCTCACTTAGTAGAAACGAACAAAAAATTGAGTGACTTAGTGATAAATAAAACGTATGGGATTTAAATCAGTGTTTCTTCCAGACTTTTTTCTCCGGGGGTGCACTTGAAATTTTCGGGGGGGGGGGGGGGGGGGGGGGCGGACAACAATTTCCGGGGGGGGGGGGCGAACACACTGTCAAAAGTATATATTTTCTATATAAATTCCATTTCGTTCGGGGGCGGGGGGATGGGGGGGGGGGGGGGGGTAGACTGGAAGAAACCTTGATTTAAATAGACCCACCCTACTGTGGAACAGATCCATTTTGGCATATTATAAACTATTCGGTGTCAATATTTTTCAATAAAATTAGTTGGTGTAATTGTTAAGTATTAGATTGTAGGTTCTAAGTTGGGTTGCGGCTAGGTTCCTGTACTTTTATGTTAGTATTTAGGCATAGACTTAGATTAATGTATAGGTTTAGATTCGGTAAGAGTTAGAACTAGGGAAATGTGACTTAAGCAACATCTTAATAGTAAGCCTGTCACAAAAGGAACATTATTTTCAGATTTTGGACATCATAATGTTATACCAGTAAATGCTAAACAGTGGCGTAGCTAGGATTTTTTTGCCGCTATGCAAAAAGTGTTAGTGGGCCCCTCAGAGGCGTAGCGACCCTTCCCGGCGACCGGGGACAAACTTTCGATTTGCACCCCCCCCCCCCCCCACTCAGACTTTCGATTTGCACCCCCCTCAAACTTTCGATTTGCACCCCCCCCCCCCCTCAGACTTTCGATTTGCACCCCCCCCCCCCCCCCACAAACTTTCGAAAAAGGGCCCCTATTTGCCTTGGGCCCCTATGCCTTGCTTACGCTAGCTTTACGGTAGCTACGCCACTGATGCTAAATACGCGATTTTAAAAATGTTAACCAGTCTTCCCCAACTAACGAGTTTGGTTACTATTTATTTAAGCCTCGTCTCCATCTGCCAATCTGGCAAGCTGTACACGAGTGACGAGTATTATTTTAACCCATTTTTCCCCAATCGCCGAGCCCCAGAATATCTACCATTCATAAACTCTGAACTCCATTATTTTCTCTAGCTGCTTGTCAGAAACCACACTCGCCCCGGGTTTCCACATTCGCCCCCCCCCCTGGTCCTCTTGGACGCGTGCACCAACAAATAAACCTGACCCCTGAAGAGTTCAACCTGGAATAGTGCTCGCCTAGCTACCGGTTCTCCGCGATAAGTTACCTGATAATTCAGATTAAAAACTCTCAGGATCCAACCTATTGAGCCCAGGTGGGGGAGAGCTCAGCGATGCGGCTGGAAGAAGTTTCCGACCCCCTCCCCCGCCCTCCTTAAGCGATGCGGCTGGAAGAAATTTCCGACCCCCCCCCCTTCTCAAGCGATGCGGCTGGAAGAAATTTCCGACCCCCCCCCCCCCTTCCCAAGCGATGCGGCTGGAAAGTTTCCGATCCCACCCCACCTCAAGCGGTGCGGCTGGAAAAAGTTTCCGAACCCCCTCCTCAAGCGGTGCGACTAGAAGAAGTTTAAGACCCCCCCCCCCCCTCAAGCGATGCGGCTGGAAGAAATTTCCGAACCCCCTCCTCAAGCGATGCAGCTGGAAGAAGTTTCCGATCCCTCCCCCATCCCTCAAGCGGTGCGACTGGAAAAAGTTTCCGAACCCCCTCCTCAAGCGGTGCGACTGGAAAAAGTTTCCGAACCCTCTCCTCAAGCGATGCTTCTAGAAGAAGTTTAAGACCCCCCCCCCTTCCTCAAGCGATGCGGCTGGAACAATTTTCCGAACCCCTCCCCCCCTCATTATTTTTTAAAATGATTTGTCTTAGTGATTTGTGCACAGATTTGACTGTTTATAATTACACTGTTTGAACGTGTTAGAACGTCGTAACTGTTCTCGACATTGAAATTGAAAGAGTTACTGTATAACTTGTTTCGTTTTGTGATTGATACGAGGTCTATTGTTGAGCTCGGTTGGTTTAGTGGAAAATGATTTCTCGACCAATGTTTCCCATTTCACCCCAACTCCCCTCCGATGTGTTTAAGTGTGTATGGGTGAGTGTATGAGTGGGTGTGAGTTTGTGAGTGTGTGTTTATGAGTATGAAAGTATGTATATGAGTTTGAGTGTGTTTATATGAGTGTGTAAGTGTGAGTGTGTTTAAAAATTATGCTGGGCCGGGTTGGCGCACATTTAAATGTAGAACCAACATTTAATGTGAAAACTATTCTCTTGGATCATTGTAATACATGAATGCAAGAAAAAAAACAAGTTATTTTTCTCAGCGAGAGAAATGAAATGTCTTAAAAGTTGTTGTAACAAGTGATATCATAAATTGAACATGTACTACAAGAAAATAAGTTAAATGTTTCTGCGATTTACTCTAATTAATAATCAACAAAGACCTAATTTTGTGACCATAACGGTATACAAACAACAAATTCTGCCCGCGGTCGTCTAATTTGAACTTTGACCGGTTACCCTTAGCCAGTCCGCGAAGTGGCCGACCATTTTGCGAAATCAAGACTTAATTTTGAACTTAGTTCAGTCAATAGGATGCGTACATTGGCCGACCAGTCCGTGCATTAACCCACTTCGGGCTTTGACCGTAACATATACACATACATACTAATGTACCCATGTGACAAATGCCCATGTGACGATTGGGTGGGGTGATTGTAAAACTCGGCTACACATGCGTGACGTCATTTTTGAACGACCTCTGGTATCAGGCAACAAATATTGAAGTCTGTTCTCCGCATTTAAAACTTTGGCAAACTGTTCAAGGAGCATAATCGGCACTCGTGTAGTGAGAAGCTTCACTCGATTGTCGACTTACCTCCCTTGTTTTTAACAAGCCGAAAAACAATCCGAAACAATAACATAACGTCAATACCTGACCACTTTCTAGATACACCCCCTTCCCCCCCACACAGGTGTTACATTACTAACCGACTTAAAGTTTCTTGTAAGTGAAGGAAATATGTTTCTTTACTAATAATCAATTCATTACTACTCAGTCATTACCAGGACTATCTAACTGCCATTATAGAATTCCCGTGTATTGATAACCACATTCAAACTCAATATTAAATATATGGTTGGAGAAGAACAAAAATTAACGACTTTCAAAATAAGTGTATTGACTTTCAAAATAAGTGTACGCAACATCTTTAGCATAGTAACCAAATGCGGAAGTGACATATTTCAAAGGCAGGGTATAAAAGGTTGGGTTAGGGAAGTTTGGGGACCGTGTTAGTCATCAATGACAGATGTATGTTGTGTAACACTTTATATCAAACTACCTAAGTCTCAACTTTACATCAAACTAATTAGGACATAAGATGAATTCAACTTTTTTTTATCATCAAGGTGAATATACAGTCATACAGAGACAGAAAAACATCTCACTCACATAAAGTATGGGACAGAAACGATTCAGACTGAATATAATTGAATATAATGATGTCTAGCTATTGACAATGATATTTAATGTATGGTAGAGCATTAACAAAGCTTAATTCAGTTACACAGAAAACACAAGAAAATATAAGAAAAATATAATAAATTAACAGATCATTCATCTAATTTGTATTAAGATCTTGGTTGGTAACATAGTAAGTAAACAGAAATTAAATAAACAGCTTATAAAACTTTTGGTCTCTCTAGAATAACAAAGTTGGGAGTCATACAATTTGTATGGCATCTTGAGGTGCTGATTATTCATGATAATAATTAGAATAATTATAATAACATAGATGGCATGAAGCCCATTTAAAAGAAAAACACTAAAGTATTACACAAGGCTTAAGTACCAAGTACATCTAATGATGTTAAGTCATCAGTCCAATTAGTTGTACCAAAAATATGTTCTGTAGGTAATGACATACCAAACCATACAAATACACACAAAAAAATTATCATGTATACTGAAATGACTAAAACAGGTTAAATAATCATACCGATAACAAAATATTCAAGACAAGTGACATGTGTAATATGTAAATATAGCAACTTTCACAGTGGTATAAAGATTTTTATTTTAGGCACTTAATACATTTTATAATAATACAAAACAAGTGCAATTCATTACAAAAAAAAGAGGAGATAATGACTCTTTTTTGTAATCAAAACATTCAACAAAACAAGTTTTTTATAGTATGTTCAAAAAACAAATTAAACACATTAAAATTGCCATTTATTTTATATGTGATTCACCATTTGAGCTTACACAAGGGAAAAGTCTCATTTTTAATTTTATCCTTTATAAACAAAAACCCATCCCAAACATGTAGAAGAGTAGTTAAGAATGCATATAATAAAAAATAATTAATATTTAAGGTATAGATGGTTAAGTGTACACAACACAGTATAAATATATAAAAATTTTGTGAGTAGATTTAAAGCAGAAAACATAAATTTTTTTGAAGACCACACAGGATGAACCACAGATGTCCATTTTTTGACATTTTTGAGTTAGTGCCATATTTATGCAGTAGTAGTGTATATCTATCATAATTAATAATATGAAAGCGTAAAACCACCTCAATCCTCTCATTATTTATCCCACAATAGAACAGCAAAGGATCTCAAACACAAAACCCCATTTTTCACAAAAGTAGAAAACTGACAATTGTGGTTTATCCCCTGTGGTCTTCATTTGTAAACATGAATACATGAACAAAATGTGTAGATATTGGCACTTCAACAAAGCATATTATAGGTTACATCAGAAGCAACTTTCCAAATAACAAGCTTAAAGCATTCAATTAATATTAATAGAGAACAATTTTAAATGGACCAGAATATGGTGAGCAACTTGTAAGTAGTAGTTAACATTAAAATATTTGTAAACCTCAGCACATCATCAAGAACATAAGCTTATCAAAAGTAAGACAATATCCCAGGCAAGTTTCCACCTCAACATAACAAAATTTGGTGAGTAGCTTTAAGGCAAACTCTACTGCTACACATCAACATGAACATTAGCTTAACAAAAGTAAGACAACATCCCAGGCAGGTTTTCATATCAACATAACAAAATTTGGTGAGCAGCTTTGAGGCAAACTCTACTGCTACTGGCATACCAAGCCTAGCTGCTCAATGCTCCTCTCTCGCATGATGTACTTCTGTACTTTGCCACTGACTGTCTTTGGGTAGTCCTCCACAAATATAACATAATGGGGGATTTTGTACCTTGCCATCTGATATTAAAAATTATGTCTTAATAATTCATTAATAAATATTTAAAACAAGAACGTATGATTCAACATTATCCTTTCTGTTATCACTGCTTTGACATTCAACCAATTTTAGAGTGTGGTCTTTTGAAATTGTGTTTTTACAAGTAAACCTTTAGAATAAGAATAAGCTTATTGAAAATAGAAGGTAAAAGTAAGAATGCTGACATACCTTATCCTTACAAAACTCTTTTACTTCCTGCTCAGTGAGCGTCATGTCTGTTTTTGGTACAATCCATGCACACACCTGTTCCCCTAGTCGTGTGTCCGGTACACCAATGACCTCAATAAAGTAATATAACACATGAATTATCAGGTACACCAATGACCTAAACAAAGTAATATAACACCTGAATTATCAGGTACACCAATCACCTAAACAAAGTAATATAACACATGAATTATCAGGTAAACAAATCACCTAAACAAAGTAGTATAACACATGAATTATCAGGTTAACAAATCAACTAAAGAAAGTGGTATAACACCTGAATTATCAGGTACACCAATCACCTAAAGAAAGTAGTGTAACACCTGAGTTGTCACATCATTCAAAAAATATATTATAAACCCTTTACAGGCCTATGTGCCTGTGGTCGTCCGAAAAATTATTTTTAAAAAGTGCTGTGGTTGAAAAATGTGTCGTCTTTTCGCCCGGCCATAAGGGAAGTAAAATAGTTATGGTGACAGGCCAGTAAATGGTTAAAGTTGAATTTAATCATATATAAATAAGAAATAATCTTTTCCCTTACGGGGCTGCGATAAACAAGCAATAAACAATTAAAGAAACATTTTAAAAGAGTGACTACAGGGCAGATGAACTCACTTGTACATCCTTGATCTTGGGATGCTTGTACAGGATTTGTTCAATCTCCAAGGGGTAAATGTTTTCTCCACCACGGATCAGCATGTCCTTGATGCGTCCTGATATTTTACAGTATCCTTCTTCTGTCATGATGGCCAGGTCTCTGGGGGTGAGAAAAAAAATAATGAACAAATAATGTCAGAGAAAAAAATAACATACTGACCTAATATTGTCAAAGAAAAAATGTCATTAAAAAAGTGAAAAGGTAAAAAAAAAGTTTGGCTGACTACACAACCGAGGTTAAGAAAGTAGGATAGTCAGGAATGAAATGGGATTTAAGCTTTACAAGGTCTCATGTACTTATAAATGTAAATAATCATAAAGGTTTTATAGTAATACCTAACACATACATAAATAAGAATGTAAACTCTCACCCTGTGTGGTACCACTGGTCAGGAGTTATCACATCTTTTGTCTTCTCTGGATCCTTCCAGTATCCCAGCATTGTGCTTGACCCTCTAGTACACAGCTCACCAGATGTTCCTATGGGAACTATTCTCCCCTCAGTGTCCACGATCTTAACCTACAAAGTTTATTTACTACTGAAACCATCATTCTTTTAATTTCTTCTTTAGTTTTAATCCAGTTACTATTTTTTAAAATTGTTGACAAATATAAATTTGATATTTATAAATCAAGAAACATACAGTATAAATGTTTAATTTTTTTTATAAGTACTAATGTCACATTCATTTATCCATTCATTCCAAGCATTAAAAATGTAAATCAGATATAAAGGTAATGATGGCAGATAAAAATACAGCTCATGTTTCAATCAAGTTGTTGCATGAACATCACAAATGTATACTATATGTCTTAAAATAGATATCTATCACAGCTCATGTGCTCATTATCAAAAAGTTTAGTTAAGGTAAATTTTAGCATGGTTTATTTATTTATTTTAATATAAATATTGTGGTTAATGGAGCTTCAACACAGAATTCAGCTAATGTTTATTGTTTGCAGTATTACTTTCATGCTTAGTTAAGGAATACTGGTATATAAAAGATAAATATGTAAATATAAAACATGAAAGAGATAAGAAATGTACACCATGACCAAATGAAGCCAGGGTTAATTCCCTTCACCGCCTCACCTCTTGGTGGTCCAAAACTTTACCAACAGTTGAAACCCTCTTATCAAACGAGCATTCTCCTGTTGATTGCAATGTGACCGGACTGGTTTCAGTGGACCCATAACACACCTTACAAATACAACATGGAAACAGATCTCAGCTTATAGTACTACATTTTTAAAATGTTAAAAATTAAATGATAATGTACGCAATTTCTTTAAATGTAGGTAGGTAATCAGAATTTTTTTTTTACTAACAGTGATTTTATGTATTTTAAGTTTTTCAAGCACTGCTTTCATCGTCTCAATAGGGCATGGTGAGCCAGCCATGATTCCGGTTACTAGACTGGACGTGTCCGTTTTTTCACATAAGGGATGATTTAAGATGTCAATGATCATGGTGGGAACACCATATAAAGAGGTGCACCTAAAATTAAAAAATTATAAAACTTTAAACTGATCAAAGAGAAAAGAATTTCAAGGGAAGTAATTAAATTGCAAATGCAAAATATATTTTAATTTTTAAAATTACAATAATTTGACAACTTTAAAAATTTGCTGGACATTTGTACTAGATATTTTATAATACAAAACTATAAGCTAATCAGCGTTAAAGTGCTAGACCGCTAACCCAAAAGTTCAGGTAAGTAGAATGTCCATGAGTCCACCCAACTCTGATGGGTACCTAACTCAAGTTAGGGAAAGTAAAGGCGCTGGACATAGTGATGACCACTCTATCCCTACATATGCTGAGGTAACTGAAACAGGTGAACTACTTCACTTGCCCCATGAACCTTCAAGGTTCAAAAGAGAACTTAACTAAGATACAATTGGCTGAACCTAGTGGAAAAGATGTACATTTAAGATTGTAACCATCACCTTAGGCTCTATGTAAGTTATGACAATAGAAAGTTGCCCTTACTTGACAAACATCCAATCTACACTACACTACTTAATCATAAATATAATTCCTGCTTGAAATAAACTTTTACCTGAATTCTTCTATAGACTTCAGTACAGTGGGTACATCAAAAACTTGTGATGGCCACACACATGTTGCTCCATGTGTAATGCTCTGCAAACAGGCCATCACCATACCAAAGCAGTGGTACAGTGGGACAGGCACACATATAACAGCATCCTGCAGCAAAGAAATAAGTGTCCTTTTCATTTACAATTCATAAGAAGTAAATAAATAATAAATAATTAGGCCCCAATTGCAATAATGTATGCTTTATAAAGTATGATTATAAATACTTGAATAAATTAATTTAACAGCGTGTAGCTAAATTAAAATCCTAAAAAAAATTATTTTTAAAAGTAAAAACAACAGAAACTGTCACTGCAACAACAATGTTGAAAGACCATCCTTCTGCTGTTAAATTTTTATTTTGCTACAGCGTTCCTTACACTTCAGTTGATTTACTTACATGAACATGGTAGCCGCACCTTAGCCCAACAAAATAACTGTTGTTGACAATGTTATGATGGGTAAGAACTGCACCTTTAGGAGAGCCTGTTGTTCCCTAAATATTTAAAGTATTAAATAAATTTATATTCAAATATAGAAACTGAACCATAAAAGTATAGTTTCTAACAAAATGTATTTTAAAATATTTAAAAAATATTTTTTTTTTAATTATAAATATGGGTACAAGTTTTTGTTATCTAAATTTATCTATACAAAGCTAACCTAAAATATACTTAAAAGAAATTTTCTGCTTCAGACACACTATTCCATTTTAAAACAAGTAAGTTTCAAATGAGAACCAAACAAAAATCTTACGGAGGTAAACTGAATATTAACAGGGTCATCAAACTGAATCAGGTCTTGGGTATCCACAATATTCTGAATTTGTGAAGGTGTTGCTTGGTTAAGAACATCATCAAATAACAGGGTGCCTGGGTAATGTTTGGGACCCATGGTAATTATGTGCTTCATATTAGGTAGCCTGAAATGCATGTAAAGTTATTTTAAGTTTTCAAAATAAGACTTTGTCAAAAGTACTCAATATTGACTAAGTTTTTAACTAATATAGGACAGCGAATAATAATGATTTAATTACAATAACAATTGTGTTATAAAAAATGTAATAAATGTAAATATTAGCATACATTTTTTCAGAAAAAAAAAAACAAGTTTGGTTTAATATAGAAATTATGCTTTAAACATAAAACTAGTGTTAAAAATGAAAAACATAGTAAATTACTCTTTGGAGTTTATAGGGGCTCCTTGTGGCAAGGATGTCAATTCTGGAATAATCTCAGTTAACATTTGAACGTAGTTCTGAGACTTAAAACTGGGAGCAGTAACAATTCCTTTACACCCAGACTACATATAAATGGAAAATAGATAAAAACAAATTGTGTTTAAAAAAGAAACACCATTCAAACATATAAAATCTGCATGAGTTGTTTCCCCTGTAATTTTAGGTACTAAAATTCTTTACAACTAAACCTTATTAATAAGGCACATGGGGAAAAACACAAGGCTCTGATTTTATTTTTATCTTGGTAGATGATTACAAAAATTTGCTATTTCAACTTGATAAAGTTGGCAACCTACTTTTTTGCTAATAACTAACTACATTTTTAAAGTAATAAAACTCATTTTTACCTTTAATAAAGCATATTTTAGCTCATCTCTTTTGTAGGAGGGGTTAATGTTCACCTAAAAGAATTGTTAAAATAACTAAGTGAACACAAGAGTTAAAGAATATTATTGTTATTGGGGGAAAAATGAATAGCATTTAATAGATTAATTAGGTAAAATAATGTAAAATTGACAAAAAAATACTTGCTTTATTATAAACATTGTTTTAGAATAAAATAGGCCTACATACCAAAATAAAGCCTGCCCTTGCTGAAGCATATTGTGTTAGGACCCATTCTGCCGAATTGGGACCCAGGATTCCAAAACAATCTCCCCTTTGAATTCCAAGTGCTTGAAGACCTGCAGCCAACTTATCTGACTGTGAATGTTAGGTATACACACAGTTCTGATAACTACATTACTTTTGTTATATGTTATTTTAGCTTTAATGGTCATCCACTAGGTCTCACTAGAAGATGAAAATGTCTATGTGTATGTGAAAATTAAATTTGTTTTTAGTTCTAAAATTTAATATATTGGTTCATATTTAAAACACTAGCGTTACTCTTTTTACAAGGTTACAGATCAGGGCTATCTCAGAATTACAAGGATTGGGGTTAAGACATGGGTTAGGAAACTTTTTAAAAAAGCACAAGGAATGTATCATGCAAATTAAAAAATTAAAAATTGTACTACCTTTTCAAGTAGTTCCCCAAAGGTAAGTTTAACTCTGTCTTGAAAAAATACCATAGCATCTCTGTCAGGGCAAGATTCAACCATTGCCTGTAACTGCTTTCCTACTGTAATTCCAAGCAAAGGTATATTTGATGCCCCGTGAACATAACTCCATTTTAAATCAGATTTCAGAATTCTTGAGGAGATATGGAAAGATGCACTAAAAAATAAATAAATAAAAGCTTACTTAAGGCATAAGGGTAAGATATAATATACATACAAATTCATACAAGTATAATGTATAAGAAACCAAAAGCAGGTAATTTAATACTATTAATACACAGCAGCAAAAATTATCGCAGTTAAATTTAACTAGATCTAGATATAGGGGTCATCCATAAATGACGTCATGCTTTTTTTAACGATTTTTCCTCCCCCCCTCCCCTTCATGCTGTCATCTGGTGCTAGGGCCTTGTTGTGGCTTGGCAGCTTGTGTACCCTGACGACCCCCAGAGCTATACCAGCGGGAGTGTTAACTCCTGGCAGGTTTAACCAAGCTGGGAAGGTCGGAGCGGGTAGGGGTCAAACGAAAGCTTGCACCCCGGTCCTTCAGGTTGGGGGTTGAGCATAAGGTCAACAACCTTATATCGTAAAACAAATTACTCGCTACAGAAACGCAGACAAAGAGAAAAAGGCAGGAGGAGGAGAGGCAGACCAAGAAAGACCTGGAGACGTGACCAATGTTCCCTCTAAGCTGCACGGGTGCGCGGCCGTGCAGTAGTTTTGAGCTGCCGCGCAGTGATTTTGTAAAATAAATATATCCTTGTATAAGACTTTTAGAACACCGCGCACAGAAAATACATTTTGTACACTAGCTTTACCCTCTTAGAGGGAACGTTGGACGTGACCTGGAAGAAGACACCAAGAAGATTGGATACACCTGGGGACAGTTGGAGAGACTAGCCCAGGACAGAGATGCCTGGAGAGCTCTTGTCAGCGGCCTATGTCCCAGTAGGGACGACAGGCAAACCTAACCTAACCTCCCCTCCATCACACATCGTTACAAAAAGCAAGATCCCCCCCCCCCTAAAATGACATCACACCTCAGTCTACAACCCCCCTCAATTATTGAATTTTTCTTAAAACATCGATATTTTTTCAAAATCTTGTCAGAACTATTTCAACATAGTCTTTTGATCAATTCCTATTACAATTTATCAAAACCGTTTTGTAAAACGCGAAATAACTGCTAAAACTCGTTTTCTAACATTGCTTTTTTATAATGCAAAAGTGTGACGTCATGTGACCCTCCCCCCCCCCCCCCTCATCACACAGCATCACAAAATTACAGACCCCCCCTCCCCCCTACGAGTGTGACGTCATTTATGGACGACCCCATATCACTAATTTTGATCATTAAAAAAAAAAAACCCTGCCACTTCTTTTCATTTCTGAAATCTAGGAGAGAGTGCCATAGTGCATAGAGCCAGACTAAAGAGAGGGCTACCTGACTTAGAAGTTAGACGTAGCCTAGGATCTAACACTCATGTACTCTTGTCTTAATCTTCTTGACTATGATAATAATAGACTATTGATTGACTATAGTATAGTATAATTAATATAGATCCAGTAGCAGAACTTGAAAAAAAGGGCCACCCTGCAAAAAAATTGTTTAGCCCCCCTCCCCCCATATATATATATATATATATATATATATATATATATATATATATATATATATATATATATATATATATATATATATATATATATATATATAATTAAAACAATTTACAACAACATGTCATGTGTGTAAGTGCATTAGTGTGTTTTGCAGATCAGTTTTCTTTTATCTTTGCAATAAGACCTCTTAAACACAAGTCGGTCAAAAGAATAAAAAACATGAAAGCTTAGTATAAGTAATGGTGTCTCACGTTATGTTTATTTTTATGTTTTTTTTTTATTTATATAATTAATTTTAAAAACATTTCCTTTTTATCCAATATAATTCTTTAGTAAGTACTTTATAAAAAAATAACAATTAGGCCTAAGAGAAGTAATTGCTTTTTAATTTGTTTAATACAAATCTATTTGACTATTTAAAAAAGGGAAATAAGTCATGCAAGTGGTTTGAACGTTTGCTTATTTTTGATAAGTTTGATTGTAGGCTTTCACAACAATGGTTTAAAAACAAAGGAAAAAATAATATACCAGAGCTTGTGATGGTGTCTATAGATTACTATAGAATAAAGAGAATCCAACAGCTACAGTAATTATTTTACAAAACAACTATCAAGTAAAAAATGCAAGAGAATTAAAAAATTTTAACTAAAAAAATGTATTATCATAATACATTTTTTTAGTTAGTAATAATACTATTATGATATTATGATCAGCTGTGGGCCCCCCCCAAAGCTGTGGCCCCCCCCCCCCCCCCCCCCCCCCCCCCCCGTGAGTAGAGACTAAGACTAAGAGAGTGATAGACCCTAGGTCCTAGACTTGGCCTTGTATACTAGACTCAAGTACTCTAGACTAATCTAGATTTACAAACACGTCGTTACTGCTTACACTTACTTACTAGATCTAGACTAGATCTGCTTAGGCTACCAACCAATGCACCGTAAACCCCAATGCACTTACCAACGATGACTCCAACTCCAATGAGATTTTTGTATTGCCTTCGAGAAAGCAAAACCTTTTTTTAAATGCTGTGCAAACTTAATGTGTGACATTTTTTTTAAAATCTAGATTAAGCACAAGTAGATAACCTAGATCAGTAACATTAAAATCTAGATCTAAAACAGAACCTAAATCAAATCTAGATCTAGATAAAACTAGATGATCTCTCTACTATCTCTAGTCTAGGTAAAACTGTAGCAGTCAGGACTTTATAACTGAACAAAAGAAAACACCCAATGACCTGTAACCTTCGACCTAATTGTTAACTTTACTTTAGAACCATTAGGCCTAGCCAGCTTAAAATTTTGAATCCTAGCCAAATAGAATAGAATCCCATGTCACCCCATTAACCAGAGTTTCTTCCAGGCATCACTTCGGAGAGCCCCCGTCCAACCCCCCCCCCCCCCGAAGGAAATGGAATTTACATAGAGAATATATGCGTTTACAGTGTCCGCACCCCCCTTCCCCCCACGAGGTTGTCAGTTCAGTGTATAATTAAAGTAAAGGTTAATTATGGTTAACTTATTGTGAAACTCTAGGGTACCTAAGGATTTTGCATCCGTCATTAGCAGTGGCGTAGCGAGGTCGGGTGTCACCGGTGCGGCACTTAATGGTGTCACACCACACCCCCCCCCCACCCCGAGGCGTAGCGACCCTTCCCGGGGACAAACTTTCAAATTTTCGATTTGCACCCCACCTCAAACTTTCGATTTGCACCCCCCCCCCCCTCAGGTTTTTCTCTATATATTTTGCTATTTTTTGCCTTGGTGTCACCCCCCCCCCCCTAAATGGTGTCACCCGGTGCGGTCCGCACCCCCCGCCCCCCCCCCCCCCCCCTCGCTACGCCCCGGGTCATTAGTCAGTGTTATCATAGATTTATATGTGACAGGACTAACGATAGAATGAGACAATGAATAAGAAAAGAATGTTTAGGCCTAGAGGTTAATTTGTAATGATGATAGGCGATATGTTTCGAGAGTTTTTGCTATTGTTTTATTAAGCTTGATAAAATGTGTGTAGTGTGAGTGTGACGCGATGAATACGGAATGACATAGTAGACAAAACTTTTAAAAGGAAGAATGAGTATGATGCGGTCTTCATCTATAAAAATAGTTACAGTACAACTTGTATAGTTTACAGGTATTATCACCGACCCCATTAAAGTCAAATTGCCTTGTTTGGTAGCCCATATGACTGGCGGTAACATGTTGGCGCACTATTATTGTTTCCAAACCAGTGGCGTCATTGTGTAGGGTGTCACTGCCATCCAGTGCGATAACTGAATGTGTCAGCAACCCCCTCAACAATTATGCTTTTGGTTTTTTTATTGTAATTTCAATTGATTAAAACATCATTTTAACTTTGCCCTTGCCTCGTGAAGCCACTGTTCCAAACTCAAGGTATATTGCATAAAGTAAAGAGGAGGCGCTGAGGCGACTTTCGGATGCTTATTCAGCTTAAACCCTGAAATACAAAATTCCGAACTATTTGTACCCACAAGTCCTAGCATATTTAGATCTGATCTACTGTGGCGTGTTATAGAAATTAACGCGTCGCACGCATTTCGTTTAAGTCTTCTCTAAACCTAGTGAAATGCCCGGAAAAAATTAACGTACCACATCTTTATCATTCTGTAGTAGTAACTGCATACTTGCTTTTTACTTTTTTTACGGCATCTCATATTACTTCTAAAGCATCAAAGACATGTCTTTTCCGCCCAAGGCTATATAAATAGTGACTATCAGAGTTTCTTCCAGGCATCTCTTCGGGGGGGCTTAGCCCCCCCCCCCCCCCCCGAAATTTTTTTACCGCCCCCCGAACGAAATGAAATTTATATAATTTATATAGAAAATATATACTTTTAACAGTGTCCGCCCCCCCGAAGAAAGTTTACCGCCCCCCCCCCCCCCGAAGATTTCAAGTGCCCCCACGGAGAAAAATGTCTGGAAGAAACACTGGTGACTATAGCTGATTATAGTCTCATAAGTGTGGCATCAGCATTGAGTTTCGTTGTCTATATTTATAAAATTCTTGGGGTTTCTTGCTCAGCGTCTATCTGTCTGCTGACGAAGGTTAACTGATGTCCGGGTCGTTCCGTCTCATTTCTCTTTCACCAAACAACGTTCTGGTCAGTGTTTCTTCCAGGCATCTCTTCGGGGGAAGGGGTGGGGGGGGGGGGGGGGGGGGTGGGGTGGGGTGGAAGGAAGAGTATACCGCCACCCCCCCCCCCCAAACCCGAACGAAATGGAATTTATATAGAAAATGTATACTTTTAACAGTGTGTCGTCGTCCCCCCCGTCCCCCCCCCGGAAATTTTAGTGCGCCGATTAGTTGGCCGATCCTCAAGCAAGACGAAATGGCTATTCCATTATTTTCTGCATCTTTATGGACGTTAAACACAAACCTAATGCAAAGTAATATGTAATATATTTCTTCAGCATCTGCTTTAGTCTGCATGGTTATTAATGACCAAACTGGTTACCTCACATATATTCCTAAAACTACGTAGGCTTATATATATATATATATATATATATATATATATATATATATATATATATATATATATATATATATATATATATATATATATATATATATATATATATATATATATATATATATATATATATATATATATATATACGTAAGAATAAATGTTTTTTTTGCCAGTTAATTAATGGTTGATTAAAGTTTAAACAACATATTTTAAGTACACAATGAAAATAATGACAAGGGGGGGGGGTGGAGCATAGGACTCCATTACGTAAACTATAGAGAAAAGAATGCAGCTGTATTAACGACCGTCTATATAGATCAGGGGTCTCCAAACTTTTCAGTCCGAGGGCTGCACTAACTATCAAATTTCAGTTCAGGTGCCACTTTCTTCTTGGCATGTCTTTAATTTTTCTGCAGCCATCGCCAACAAACGTTCTTTGCCGTGGACAAAAATATCTCCGCGGGCCGGATAAGAGGACCTCGCGGGCCGCATACGGCCCGCGGGCCGTAGTTTGGAGACCCCTGATATAGATAAACAGCATTAGTATTAAATGTGAACAGTTTAAAGCTTTAACAGAAAAGGGGAGTGGGGGTGACACCCGGACGAAACAGAAAGAGAAAAAATATTTGATGAGAATTTTTAGATTAACTAACCATTGCCCGGAAAGTTTCTATTTATCTCTCCCCCCTCCCCATGTGTCCCAGAGCAAAATGTCTGTCAGAAACTCTGGTCGTATATATTAAGTTTACGCTATTGTTAGCCTTTTCCGATATTGTTGGTCTATTGTTCCTCTGTGTGTGGCGGGGATAGGGTCTTGTAAGTTGTGTGCTACTCACTTTAAAAAAAATGCTATAAGGCAAAAAAATCCCAGTAAAACAATCAGTGTGTAAAGAAAAGGTAACTTTTTAATAGTACCCCTAAACTAATTATTATATACATTTTTTAACAATATATAATATAAGAATATTATATGTAGACTAACTTATTGTTTATCTGAAACTTTTTGTAGAATTTCTAGCTATAAAGGCTAATTTCTAATGGATTCTTTCTAGGTTTCACCGCCTGTATAATACAGCAGCAACTGTGAGTAGCGGGCACAAATACTAATGGTGAGAATTTTTTATGATAATATAACCAATACTTATCTCTTCCTTTTCTAGAATAAAAATGAATAAATATTTTTAGCTTAGATGAAAGATGTTCTAAAATAAAAACGCATCCTATATAATTGAAAAACATTTTTTAAATTCCGGATAGTGTGCTTATTATTTTTAGAAGCCTATCCCAGCGTACCTTCCCTTTGTGCGCCATTTTAAGAACATTGAGTTTAAGCGGAGAGAGTGAAACAGAAAGAATGGAAGACCAACAAAGCCAGAAAAAGGTGACCATCATAAAACATAAATTTTAAAAAAAAGGCTTAAGTTAGCATTCTAATCTAAGTAGTAAACTACAAACCAATTAGCGAACAGTCAGTGCTGAATTATTTTCTGTCAGTTTACCGGTACTTTAACAGAACATTTTGGCTTTTTAAAAATATCGTTTTTCCAGTTCTAGAATAAAGATTTAACCCAATTCCATGCTGCCTATAAAATAGCACAGACTAGACTCTAGATCTAAATGCTATATTTTTAGATTAGATCTGATCTATTTCAATATTCTAGCTAGATCTAGATGGATAATTGGCAATCAAAACTCGCTATTTTTTTTTACAATTCTAGGTCTAGTGCTGTGGGGTAATGTGTATTTTTCAGGCTTACAGTGGGGCTCTGTAAAAATGACAACTCAAAAATTTGAAATCTTTTTAACTAGGCCAAGATCTAGATTTCTATTTATTTTCATACTCAAGTTCTAAACATGGGTTAACTGGAGGAAAATATTTGCTTTCCATAAAGATCTATCCTTGGCCTTGATCTGCCTACCCAAGCCGAATTTATTTGAAGTGACTACTCGGAAAAAGATTTTTTGGCAGAAGATACAATGTAGATTTTCTTAATAAATCTAAAATTTACCTAATTTTCAATTTAAACATGACCCAATGATAGACACCCATATTTAATCAAGGCCGATTCTAGCCGGAATAAGATCGCATGCGCAGTAGAGAGAAACTAGGCTATGTTTTCGACGGTACTGCGCATGCGTGTTCGCGGCATTGTTTTGGATTGTATTGCGCATGCGTGTGTTTACAAACAAACCGCACCCGCTTAATTAACCTAGTTTGGTTTCGTTATTTATTATTATTTAACGTTTGGCCTAGACTACAATCACTGAATCAGAATTGTGTCAGCATAGTATAAGTGGGCTGAAATATATATACCTAGATATAGACTACTTGTGTAGAATACCACCGATGTAGTTTAACTTAACAACTGTTTGTTTCCTAACTGCAAACAAATTATTTTAGTGAAAACATTAACATAAAATGAATCTTTGTGACAATTCATTAGTATTAGACTAGTATCATTAGTCAGCAGCTACTGCTGCTTCAAATCTTTCAGTGATCAGTAACAAGATGTCACCTAACGGTGGTGTTTTGTTTGCGTAATATAATGACTGTCCATGCAAACTGATGTGGGGGGGGGGGGGGGCTTTTATAGCTTTATTATTAATTCTGTAATACGTGTTGCCAATAACCCAGATTTAGTTATCCTAACAAACAAGCATGTGGTTTTTTCACACCAAGTAGTTGAGTTAGAGAATTTCCCATACACTTGCATATAATAGTGTTTACATCTATTCTAAAAGTTTTAAAAAGTTGCCAATCCTAAAATATCCCACAGAAACTGAATAAATGTTAGTCAAGAAGACCAATATATGCAGTTGTTTAATATCTCAAAGACGATTTCTTATTTATATTTAAGGCTGCACTGCAAAAAAATATAAATCAAAAGCAAAGTATACTTGAAAATTGTAAGAATTTATTAAGTTTCAATGAAGGCAAGTTTACAAGGATGTGTTCAAATAAACAAGAAATAATGCCAAAGTGTATAATACAATTTACAGCAATAGTCATTTATGAAAATAAACAATGCAATCAAGAAAGATGTAAAGCTAAATCAAGCAAAAATATATATGCATTACAAACACTGTAATCATGTATGACTAAATATTGTAATAAACATTTGAAGGTAAAGTGACTACTGCAAGTGGTATGAAAAATTCAGTTTAAGAATTTAAAAAGGAACTTGAAAAATAAATGTATGACAATAAATAGCACGACAAGAAGGCATTAAAAAAGTAACCATAAAAAACCAAATGAATTAAGGTGCAGCAGAAACATAAAAAAAAACAACTTGCTAGGACAGGTGCCTTAGTAACTCCCTAAATAACAGGATACCCAGATGACCAGCTTAACAATACATAAAATTAAGTCCCTCATTTAACAATGTCTAATACAAAATAAGCAAACAAAAGAATCTAATCTATCACTAGATCTACCCTGAACACATACATCATGAAACCACCGCTTGCAACTATCACATGAAACCCAATTAGTTACACTACCTATCACTAAAGATTTATCAGGGTCACTCTTTCTACAATAGTTACATTTATTTTTTAACACCTTCCCTCCCCTCTTGGGCAAACCTATTGCTGTTGACCCATACCCCTTTGGTCTACCCCTTTTAGCTACTTTTAATGGAGGCTGAATTTTACTAAGATCCCCTGCTCCTAAACTTTCAGCTACACCTACTTCTACATCAGCTACACCTACTTCTACATGAGCTACACCTACTTCTACATGAGCTACACCTACTTCTCTCTCAGCTACACCTACTTCTCTCTCAGCTACACCTACTTCTCTCTCAGCTACACCTACTTCTCTCTCAGCTACACCTACTTCTCTCTCAGCTACACCTACTTCTCTCTCAGCTACACCTACTTCTCTCTCAGCTACACCTACTTCTCTCTCAGCTACACCTACTTCTCTCTCAGCTACACCTACTTCTACATCAGCTACACCTACTTCTATATCAGCTACACCTACTTCTACATGAGCTACACCTACTTCTATATCAGCTACACCTACTTCTACATGAGCTACACCTACTTCTATATCAGCTACACCTACTTCTACATGAGCTACACCTACTTCTATATCAGCTACACCTACTTCTACATGAGCTACACCTACTTCTATATCAGCTACACCAGTTCCTCTGTTGTCCCCAACCTCTGCCACAACATTAAACCTTTCCCCTTTACTAACCATCTCCTCAACCTTGCCTATCATCTCCAAATAATAATTCAAACTAGCTGTCCCTAACTCAACTAACTTATTTATCAACCTATCACAACTAGTTTTAGCTAATTTAAATTTTTCCCTCTTATCTAAAGCTGGAGTTCTCCACTCAAACCTATGCACTGCTACCTCTAAAGGGGGAGATTCTGACTGAGCGATGGATGGTACTAAACGATTGTAATCTAAATGCCACCTAGAAGCAAACTGGTGAATGCTCAAATCCCCTAAATTCAAAAAATCCCTAACTGCTAACAAATGTCTACATGGTAAAATCATATTCTGAAAAAATTTACAATTACAAGTATTATCCCTAACACTAACAGAAAAAAAACTATCACCCTTAGACACAGTGTGAGAATTCTCAAGAGCAGTGATGTCATGTTGCAATCTTTTGGTGTATTCTACTGTAACTAACTTAATGGCATATGGTGTGATGCTATCTTGTAAGTGTGAAAGTGGAGACAAATACTTCTTTGTGCGAGCTTTGAATTGTTTGTGTATGGTCTCTGAGAACTGGTTATCAATAAAAAAAAGTACTTTAGCAATGCATGCATCTAAATCTGTAGGGTGTGTGATTATTGATTTCAATTTCTGGTGGTATGATTCTAACCTATTGTTTGTTGTGTCTCCAAAATTTAAATGTTCTGCTCTCTTGAAAAGCACCCACCTGTCATGTAGGTGATCCCAATTAACTAAAAAATACTCTGCAAACTGGTCATCCAAGAGAAGGATTTGCTGTTTTAGGTTATCATAAGACATCTGGTCCTTGGCATAACATATTGCATCCAGCAACAGCAGAATTTTGAATTTTATGTCACTACTACACCTTAATTCTGAAACTTTTTTTTTAAATGCCTTCTTGACATGGAACAAACACAGTTCACAGATTGTGCCTGGAAACACCCTTTCAAGACTGGCAATCTCAGACAAGTCTTTATCTACCATAAAAGTTTTGATTTTACTCGAAGCTTCGTTATAGAGCCGAAATGTTTTGAAAATTGTGTCGTACATGGCAGCACTCTCGTTGCCAATGAGAGCAAAAGCCACCAACTGGGATAGACCCAGTCCATCGACCACTATAAAACTTATTAGTGGCATTCCACTGTTGTTTACACAATAAGTGCTGTCCAAGCACACATGCTCCGGAAATTTTGAAAAGGTTTCTCTCATGTTGCTAGACTGGAAAAAAAAATACTCCAACTCGTTTTTTGGATTTAAACCATAATCAGCAACAAGGCCAGCGTCACCCCTCCTCCGCTCTTCAATTAAATTCACCAGCATTTCGGCATCATTTCGTGTCTTTCCCGTCACACTGCTTAGTTTTTCCTAAAAAGATATAATAAAGACAAAAATAATTAACAGATGAAACTTTTTCATTGTGGAAAGAATTTCAGGACACACAAATGTTTTAGACACCAGAATCTTGTTTAACTTCCATTTTTAAATTTTAAAGAGGAAAACAATTTGCAGATTAAGCTATGAAATTAACTGCCCTCTGCATACAAACTTAGACTTGATTACAATATGAGGTTCAACAATTCCTTACCTCAGCTCTCGTTTTAGTCTTCAAATTCCACACATCTTTAGTTGTGACTGGCTTCCCAGTGGCTATATGGATCTCTTGCCGCACAACTTTTGTATCCACGCCGAGCCTGGTTAACTCACGGGCCATGGTCTTTTCTTCAGAGTTTAGCTGTCTGTTGAGCACATAGTGCTTGTAAAACTCAGGACCTATGATGAAACAAATAGTTCAATGTACTTTCGTTCTATACAAAAAAGCAATAAACAGAAATATTAAGTTTAATATACTAGTAACTGGTTTTATCTGCTTATTTAATGAAAGTACTGGGCTGACTGCTGCTCAGTCATGCAGAAGGCAATACATCATAGGGGCAACAGTAATACCCCTGCCACTGAACTGTTAGATACTAGATTGTTCTTAGATCTCAGCTGAACAGTGATATCACCTAATCTATGGGCCTTATGGTCCAGCATGGAGATCATAGAAGAACCATTATCACTGCTCTCCCATCAGATCAGTTCTCACCTCTGTAAGAGCGCTAACAATTGGGGGCTTGAGAAGGTTGAAACAAGGAATACAAGCAGATCTAGAAATCTATAATGTATTTTTTCAATCTCACTTACCAATTTCATGATTATGGGAGGCCACAAGTTGCTTGATAAACACACGAGTCCTCTCCTTGTTTAGAGTAGCATAGATTTTCCCAGGGCATCCAGATTTGACTGAGCTAAAAATTAAAAGAAAATTTATCCATTGATGATCATAAAAGAAGAAATGGTTCAAATTTTTTAAAAATTATCTAGATTCTAGATCTAGTATCTTTAGTAAATTTTTAGGACTTGATGAAAGATCTAGATTCTAGATCTAGAATAGACAATATCTAGATTCTAGATCTAGATAATCTAGAAGAATCCTAGATCTTCTAGATTCTACTTCTTTCTAGTGATCTAGATCTAGAAATCTAGATTGTTTTTTTTTTAAGATCTAGCGAGAATTTTTTAAAAGAACTATAAACTATTCGTTTAAATACTCACCCTGTCTTCCTTTTTCCTTCTCCCTCTGACTTGAAAGTGCCAGAATGAGTGCACTTATAGGTAAAATTGATGTATTTAAAGCACTCTGGATACCGTCTTTGACCGTCCTTTAAATTAGCGTTGGCCACACTCGTTAGCTTACAACCTTTCTTCACCATGGGCTGGAACTTTGTGTCACAATACACCTTGCAAGCGGCAAAGAAATCGTCCCAGGAGTTAAATTCTTGATTCAAAACGAAAGCCATTGAAGCGAATAAAGGAACCGGCGCGAAGAAGAATCTGTATTGTAGTGGAGTACAAAAGGGATTCAAATCCATTGTCACGACCGCTTTATAGGCCTTTGTACTAAAGAAGGTCAACGTACATGCGCAGTTTTACAGGCCATTGCGCATGCGCAGCTTTAAAGGTCGCTGCGCATGCGCAGAACGTATCTTATTCCGAACAGATTTTGGACTTGGAGACGCTAGGGCGAAAAATCTTATTCCGACTAGACACTTCGTTTAATCAATTAGGCACTAATTGAAGGTTTTTGTTCCTTTTAAACTAAATTAGGCCTACTTATTTTAATATTTATTGTCTCTCACTGCCATGCATGACACGCCTCTCCATGACAACCATACTTACGTTTGAAGCTAAAGAAAATCACAAATCCGTTTAGACTTTTTTAGTGGCCATGCACCCAGAGCTCCTCACTAGTGATCACCTAATAGCGGTCACGTGGTTTAAATAAATAAATTTGGTTGTCATTCAGAAGTCGTGTCTTATTTTAAAAAGTGCATGCAATATTTGATTTATTTTTTCATAGACTAATAACCCTAATAGTTCTACAACCTCCAATTCATTTTTGTACTCTCCAGGCTGATATTTGAAAAGTTCTAGGCCTATTAATTTTAATAACAGACTTTTAAATTTAGCCTTCATTCTCCAAAGCAAATTTTAAAATGCTTTTCTGGCATATTTAGCCCTTCCACTGATAGTATGTTTTTATAACGTGAAAACCCGCTGTTTTGCTTGTGATAAACATTTTTAAAAGTTAATTCTAAGGTCTCTGGAGCTAAGACGAAAAATCGTTGGAAGTCATGCAATCGGTCCATATGCCATATTGTTGTTAGCAACCAGCCATGCCTCCTAGGTAGCGAGCAATACTATACAAAGCCCAATAGTTCTGGGCATGCGCAGTGACCTTAATAGCGGCGCTAGAGTTAAGGTTAGGGATAGGGTATAGTTAAGGTTCTTCTGTTTGTAAACATATGCATGCGCAGTGCCATCAAAAACCTTGCAGCAAATGAAGGTGGTAGTTTTCTCTCCAATGTGCAAACATATCTTTTTCCGGCTAGAATCAGCCTAATTTATTTTTTAAACTGTCAGTATCCAAAATAGCATCATGTTCATAAATATTTCGCTCTGTTTTAGCATTCCTATTCATTCTTTTATTTTGGTTTTGTACAAAACCATATCATTGACATGGGTTAAAGAAATTAGTTCTTTGACCAGCACTTTGGGACTAAGCAATTAAATTATGCTTCCATAATGACCAGGATAGATATTGATTTTAAATGGCTTGTTTAAAAGCTAGAACCTTGGGTAAGCTAGTTAGAGAAGTGCATGACTAGCTTTTAAAGTTGCCATAATGTAGTCAATTGAAAAAACTAAAATGTTACAGTTCTGTAAGCCTATAACTAGAATTATCTCATGATATTCTAGTATCAGTGTAGGTAGGCCTATGTACATTATTAACCAATTAATGGGCTAATAAATCTAGATCTTCATAAAGTAGTTCTGCTGTTTTATCTGGTTTTTGATCGTTGAGTCATCTAGCGACATGAGACATTCTAGTTTTTGATAATAAACTTGTCTTATTCTTGATTTTAAAGACAAATAGGCCTTCATATAATGTACTATCTTCAATATGAACTACAAGAATTACTACTCTGTGTACTATATGAACATACTATATTATTGGAATATCAAAGCAAACATTGTAAACAAGACAAATATATTATTCTGGATTAGTGAAAGCTAGATTTCTAATGCTAGCAAATCTACTTATCCTAAAAATTAGGATACACCCCAATATAATCGCATATCTACCAAAATGCATCAGTAAATTACAAAAAAAAAAGTCTTGTTATTATAGGCCTAATATTATTTAGATATCACACATTTTTTATGTCTGCTTCATGATACTTCAGTTGTTTTTTAGCGCAATTTCCATTCTGGAGAATTGCGTTTATTAACCCATCATTTCTGGATGGATGGATGGATGTGTGTCCGTAGCTTTAAGTCGTATCTCCTCCTCAACGAAGCAATATCGATGACTAGTTCCAAAAGCAATTATGTTAAGCAAGTTACGAGGATGAACATAGGCCATAAAAATTACGGGTTTCTTTCATGAATTTCCCGGAAAAGCCAAAAAACCTAAAAAAAAAAGTAGTTTTTGGCCCATATCTCGGCAACCAGACCACTTAGTGACTTGAAACATGTACCAATCGATTCCTGCAATAATTTAGAACAATATTGCCGAAGAAAGTTTTCAAAAATATCCTTTCGTTCGGTCACAAACATTTTTTTGAATTAATTAAAATTTGGACAGAATTAGTAGGCATATTTTTCCAACCACACCACACGCGTCATCAGGTTCAATGGCTGCGTCATCACGTTCAGTAGGCGCGCAATGATTTTAGTCATGTAACTCTATTGTAAAAAAAACATGTAAAATACTGAAAAAAAAATTAATAAAAAACTTTTTAATAACTAACCAATGGTTTTACTAACCCTGCTCTTGATTTACGCTACGACAGAGCTATTTTTAGATAACATAAGGAAATTGCGCTTAAATGTCACTAGACTTTTTAATTAACTTGTTTACCTAGTAAGGAAGATAATGTATCTAATGTCCCAAATAAAAAACAATATGTTGAATTATGAATGGAAAGAAAGATAAAAGCATTCTATTATAAATAACACAATCATTTGAAGTATTCTGAGAAAATTTCATTTATAAAATAAAGGGATAATGAAACAATACTTTTTGGCATTTAGGCCTAACTAATAAAAGTAACTAATTTCTTATTTAAGACCTAAAGCTTTTTCTTAGTAACAAGCCTAGTTATGTCCGTGCTGGTCACCAGGTGGAATATATTGGTCAACTAACTTGCTTGTTTTATTTGAAGGCAATAAAGTAATGACTTGCTTTGAGGTTGAGTCTGCACTGCTCTTTAGAGACTATTTTTTTCACATATGTATTTATTAAATTTAGGCTATGTTTACTGCTTCTGTGACTGATAACAATGTCGTTTATTTCAGGAGGACCATAAAGAAAGTGAACACATTAATCTAAAAGTAACTGGTCAAGATGGTAGTGTAGTCCATTTTAAAATTAAGAAGAACACACCACTGCGAAAGTTAATGGGCGCTTATTGTAATAGAGCTGTAAGTATCACCTGTTTATTTTAGAAAAATAAAATAATCGGTTTAGATGCAGCTATGCAAGTTTTAATATTTTTGAGTCGTATTTTGTATTTTGTTGTTTTATCTTTGAAAGTAGCCTATGTGTAACTTAGCTTTTTTTCAACAGGGAATACAAACAGGAGTTGTAAGATTTAGATTTGATGGAAATCCTATAAATGATGAGGACACTCCAGCTATGGTGAGTGCTTGATGCTTAAACTATTCTTTTATTCAGGTTGTCATTTATATTTATCTACTTACTGGTACTTATTTTAATTAACCATTAATGGCTCATTCATTCTCCCTATACACCACCCTTGGTTTCCCAATGTAAGGAGCATAACTCTGTATGAACAAGTGAACCCTTTCACAAAATATTTATCTAAATCAATTTAATAATTAAGATAAAAACTACTGTTCAATGTTATTACAGTATTAAATAGAAAAAAATATATTCAATAGACATATAAAAATAAAAAGTAGGAGAAAATGCTCAAAAGGTCGTTTGGGGTATTCAACTTTGTTTATTTTTGTCTAAACGACCATGCATTGAATTTAACAGTTGTATATCAATTTGGTTATGTTTAAGATATATAATTCACAAAATACATGCCTAGATACGTTTTTAGGTATGTTTTTATTTTAAATTAACTAAAAATAGGACAGTTGAGTGGAAAATTTCAGGATGGAAAGAAATAACTAAAAAAGTATGCTGAAACTATCCAAATTCCCGTTTAGTTAAAAATTAGGATTTTTAGGCCAAATTTTAGTGAAACAAATTCAATTTTTTTTCTATGTGTATTGTTAGGCAGGCATTACAGGCTATCATGGTTTGCGGACGAAAGCAATATGGGTCATTAATGGTTAAGAAAGTACTTCAATCTATCCAAACCTGTGTTTTTCTGTTTATTTTCCGTCTTTTTCTCTAATAAAATAAGCTTTATTTTAACCTCTCCAATATTATTATATTGGTAAAGAACTTATTTCCAAACTTAATTATTTTTTATTTGTTATTGATAAAATAGGTTGACTGGTTTTTTACCCCTGTCCAATCGTGTGAATAGTGAATCACTTTGAAGTCCACCAACCCCACTCACACAAATAATCTTAAACTTTTCAGTTAAAATAGTTAGGAATATACAAACCCTATTTTAATGCAATCCTGACTTTTAAGATTTTCCAGAAAAAAATTACTTTAAAATAAATAAAATGTTTAACCATTTTGTATTTATTTCTATTTTTAGCTGGAAATGGAGGATGGAGATTCAATTGATGTTTTTCAACAACAGACGGGTGGTTGCTTGTCTCGGACATGGTAGAAGAAAGCTTGCAACACTAAATGACATTGGAATGGAAGTTAAATGCTGATTAAACTGGGGAAGTGTGTTGTACAGTGTAAAGATTTTCTCACATCCAAGCCAGCAAGGACATTTTTTTATTACATGTTAATTATGGTTAATGATGATGTAAAGACTTCAGCAAGGAAATTGAAAACAGCAGTTAACGCTTAAAGACATGAAGGTTCTTTATTCAACTGCCCCATATGGTTTGTGCTGAGCATTTTGTCTGTTACTATCATCCCATGTCATCTATCATTTTGTAAAATTCATTAATGTGTACATTTCATTTTGTTTTCCAATTTTGGCCCTAAATTTGTAGTTTACTGAGCTCTCATCTTTGGATCTTTCATCTTAATATAAACATTGTTATTTTAAGTTACTGTATGATTAGTCACTTTGTCATGACCAATAGTTACTTTTAAAAAAAATATAAGGAATTATCATTTTTGAAAAATAAAAGTTTAAATGTTATTTTCATTGTTTTAGTTATTGTGTGAAGGCTAAGAAATGTTAAGAGTAATCTAACCACAGGATTCTAATTTTACTTGAATCCAGCTTTATCAACAATGCTTGTATCCCAACTATTTGGTACATTCATGGCGTCAGGGAAGAAAGAACCTTTAATTATTAATTAATAGGAGTCAAATATTTTTTTACATTTACAGAATCTACGAAGGATAGACTTTTAGTTTTCATAAAACCTGAACAAATTGCAAAACCGTTCTACAGTTAAAAGCACTTTAACTTAAAGTTTCCAATAAATTTCTATTCCTGCTTCAAGATTTTACCAGTTTTAATTGAATTGAACCTCCCTAACAGACGAGGGCGACCAACCAACTAATGACATCAGATCATCAGATTTTAAATGTAGACCTATATCACTGAATAATTATTAATCAGTATGGATCTAGGGGTCGGCGTGGTAGAGTCAGGAAAGCTCATGGTTGCTAAACCAAAAAGTCTGTAATTAAAACCCTCTGGTAGATGAGGCTTGTTACATGATTGTTAGCTGGGGACACTTCTAGGAGAGAACTCCAAAATCAAACAACTGCTACCTTGTTCTTTGTTGGACAAAGGCTATGGAAGCAAATCCAAAAAGAAAGCTGAAATCTGAGTCACTGGCGCATAACCAGTTGACAAGTATCCTTAATAATTGTGTTGGAGGGGATCCCTTCCAACACAAATTAAGAATGAAGAAGTAGAGAATTGACCTAATTCCATTTAAGTGATTAAAGTTTAAGGCTGAAATTATTCTATCAATTTTCAATCAATAGGACCTCAATTTCTAGTCTTCGGCTGTAATATTTATAGAATGTTATAAGTAGCAGTTGTGCATATGCTAAACCTTTCTATTAGATTTGGTGATGAAATTAAAATGGCCAGACACTGCATTGATAAGTAATTAACACTAAAATTGTTAAACAAATATGAAATAAAACAGAACTGAAGGCCACTGTCAAGAACTTTTAATGCTTTATCACAATTTGTAAAAAAAAAATACAACTTTCAATATATTAGTACATTGTTTTTGTCTCAATTAAATGTTTTAGAAAGAAGCAACCAGGATGATTCAAAACACACCAGGATTCCTCATTCAAAAACATTGTACATGGGCTATGTTACAACTTGTCAAATAGAATCATGTTCACAAGAATGTCAATAGGCACAGCGGGAGGAAAACTAATGTAAATGAAAAACCTGTTTGGTAATATATAAAAAAATAAATAATGAAGTACAAAAATAAGTGCCAAAGTATTATTCCTTTTAGAATATAAAACGACAAACTATTAATAACTGATTAAAAAGTTGTTTTAAATTACCACTAAAAAATCTATTGTCTTGAGATTTTAAGTCTAGACTTACAAAAATAGATAGTGATAATTTATTAAATGAGGATAACTGTTATCAATGGAAGTATTTTGGAAGCTGGTTATTTATGAAAACCATCCCTGGATCATCAACATGATCTTGCCACTAAATTCTTTAGTTATCTAAATAAAGCAGCTGTTAACACATTCACTCAGAGAAAAACTGCCTAAATTAAACTTAATAACTTATTTGATTAACTTGTAATAAACATTAATAAATCTTGATTACTGTACATCATATAAACCCAACTGAAACTGTTATAAATGCTTGCTCTCTCCACCCTCACGTAAGCTTGCAGAACATGACTTGACTTGCTGCACTAAATCACAGAGACGAAGGATTGGTCCATCCACAATAGCTACCAGTTTTGTTAGTTGGTCAGTGGACATGGACATGAGACTTGCTCCATCAATGTTCTGGGAAATAAATTATAAAAATGTCAACAAAGATGTAAAATGCCACTAAAAAAATATGCAATCCACATCCATCAGGGAGAGCTCAAATCTAGATCTAGAATGATGATTCAAACTAGAGATTTGTTTGATTTGTTTTTAGTTGGTAATACTATATTATATATATATTTATTATTGGGGCAGCATGTCCACGCAATGCACTACTGCTAAACCATAGTCTGTTTCAAACTAATGTCTGCAAAACATTTTTTGAGTCCACCCTCCTCTGATTGGTACATAAAGTAACAGAAAGGCAGCTGGACATAGAACTGGCTATAGAACTATTCATTCATAGGTTAAGGTTATGGAAACAGGTGAACTTATCCATTGGGTACGTCTTCAGAAACAACACAGAAACTTCTTCACACACAATCCCAAATATTTTCAAAAGTTGACTCGCCACCGGCATAGTACCATATATTCTACATTAAAACATGTTTAAAAGCCCAAACCTTACAAAAAAACCCCACCTTTTTAATGAAGATTTGTGCATAGGCAGCACAGCCATTTACTTTGAGGACGTCGACAACATCTGATAAGCTCCACTTGCTGAGGTGTAAAGCTCGCAACCTTGATGATAAAGTCAAAACAATAACACTCCCACTTTCCTCAGCAACTTCTGAATCAGTCAGCATTAATGACGACGAGGATGCAATGCGATTGGATTTTGATTCCATGGATTCTTTCTCTGGAGCAGAGTTTATATTACTGTTTAAAAATGTTGCAGCTTTGGCGGCTTTCTCAGAGAGTATACTGTTGCCATTAGCGTTGCCGAGAGACTTGAGGGGTGTGCTTGACTTGAGACGTTCTGCCAGTTCTTGAGAAAATCCTTGTGGGATTTTTCCATGTGGACTTAAAATTGGGGGATTAGCATCAGCACCAACAGTGGGACTTACAACATCTTCTATTTTAACTGAAAGCAAAAAAGAATAGAATGAATTATGTATAGCCTTAATAAGCAGGAGATGATATGTTAAAGGGGTTGTCCATAAAGGACACTCATGGGTGGGGTAGGGAGAAAAGAAAACTTCTGTGGTGTGATATAAAAAAGTAATACTCAATGTTAACCAAGCATAATAAATATTTAGAAAGATAAAAAACTGCAATTAAAAAAATCTGAAGTGGGACTGGGTTTTGTAGGCTGCTGGCATTAAATTAATGGGGGCGTTTCTAGATTTTTGTGATGTTGGAGAGGGAAAGATAAAAATTGTTTTAAAAAGTCTGATATCATTTGCTTTAGTTTCTTTACTTCTATATTTGTGAAAGCTGTCAGGTAATTGAGGCAAGGTGTCTTAAAAATAATCCAGTTACATTTGTTGTTATTACGTTATATTCTTTTGCCCATGCAGTTTCATTTTAGGTAGTATTCATATTGTCATACTTTGTGAGATAAGTAATTACAAATTTCCATCTTTAAAGTTAAATTGCTATGACTCAATAAGTATACTGACAGTGAACGCATTACTAAAACATTTTCCAGTAAGTTACTGTAGTAGCTACTTTCATAAAATTGTCCATTGTAACTTCAAGCTTTTTTAACTACCCTTATATAATCTAACTTTCCCTTTATAAAAATAAATGTAGGTGAGATGTGTGTAATTGACTGACCTTTTGTATCAACATCTGGTTCAAGCAAGGGTGGAAGAGTTGCAGCAACTGCTTCAGGGGAGAGCATTTTATGTGGAGGAAATATTGAGTCATTGTTTTTGGAAGATTGAGTTGATAATGATTGGTAGCGGCTCCCCATTCCACCAATAGCTGCATACGATGAAGGTGAAAATCTGGACGGGTCTTTGGCTTTCTTATCTGAGCCTGAGCTTCTCTCTAGGAAAATTAAAGGACAAAATCAGTTTAGAGAACTGAACCCTACAAGTATCATACATTTTTCTCTAAATAATGTATAAATTTAAAAGTGTTAAAAACCTGGGCTAAGATAGCAAAATATACATAAAGACGATCATATCTATATAATTAGTTATAAGCAATAGCATGTTTATTTGCTTTCCATTATTTATAACTTAAAAAATTGTCTGATTGTTTTGGGAATGAAGTTACTTACTCTTCCTAGGACCCCTGTAGATTTGAGTTTTTCCTTTGCGCTTTCTTACATTTACTGGGGTTGAGTTAGCTTGTGTCCCTTCCACTGTAAGTAAAATGTTATTAAAAAATTTGAAATGCTGTCTCAGATACAACAACCACCTTGCTAGGCTTAAAACGCAACCTGAACATGAAGTAGACATTATCAATTAGTGTTTTATCAAGCTGATTTAAAAGTCTTTTTTCCATAGATTTTTTTTTTTAGTTTTAGTATTTATAAAAATTGAAGATTCAATTTAAAAGTACAAGTTTAGATCATCAGCTTACATCTACTCCTTGGCCCTTCAAGACTATGTTTCATAACTTCACACCATCCAACAGGGTATATATCAGGGCTCTGGCAGTCTATCCATTGATCGTAGTTGTTCTCCCAGCCATCAAAATGAATTCTCAGCAATCTCCCAACTACTTTTGTCACAGTTGCCACACAAATAAGTCTAAAACAAACAAAAAAATTCGATTAATCTTTTAAAGTTTCTATAAAAAATGCAGCATATAATTTTTTCTGATGGTATCAAAATGTCAGAGTCACAATTAGAATTAATGTCAGGGTTAGGGTTGCAAAATAATTGACATAAACACTGTGAACATTTTAATCAGTACTAAGCATTATGTGTGCCACTTTTTAAACAAGTTAATTAAAAAAGTCTAGTGACATTTATGCGCAATTTCCTTATGTTATCTAAAAATAGCTCTGACGTATAATGCTGGGGTGCGTTCAAGCTAGAAGAACGATCGGTTTGTAGGTGTTTATGTAATTTTAAAATTTGTGACCGAACGAAAGGATATTTTTGAAAACTTTCTTCGGCAATATTGTTCTAAATTATGGCAGGAATCGATTGGTATATGTTTCAAGTCGCTAAGTGGTCTGGTTGCCTAGATATGGGCCATAAACTGAATTTTTTCGAGGTTTTTTGGCTTTTCCGGGAAATACACGAAAGAAACCCGGAATTTTTATGGCCTATGCTCATTCTCGTAACTTGCTTAACATAATTGCTTTTGGAACTAGTCATCGATATTGCTTCGTTGAGGAGGAGATACGACTTAAAGCCCGGACACACATTCATCCATACATTCATTCATCCATCCATTCCCAGAAATGACGAGTTAATAAACGCAATTCTCCAGAATGGAAATTGCGCTAAAAAGCTGTTTAACAGATACAAGATGTAATTACCTGGGTTCCATAAGGTCAACAGCTTCTACCTTCATACCTGGTCTAAAGCCATGTTTTGGAATTTCCTATTGTAATAAAGCAAATGGCACTTTTTGTCAACTATGATAGTTTTTCTATACAAAATAATTTAAAATATTCCAATACTAAACAATGAAAACAAAAAACAATACACAAGGAAGTAGCCTTTGTTTATTATGTTTGAATCTAGATAGCTTAATTATTTCCAAATAATAAATAAAAATATCAAACCATGATAATGTAAAAAAAAGGAACACCTTTATTATTTCAATAAGATAGTAATTTAAACAGCTAACACTTAAAATCAACTGGAACTACTTTCATTACTATGTGGAGGTGTGTGTACTATACATAGCCACATCTGAATAAGAAATTACCATATAAAAGAAAACTCAGGCACATAAGACAATAGGATAAAAAAAAGTTACGAAGTATATAAATAACTATGAATATCTTTATTATTCAGAATTTATCAATGTACAGTCTTAGTTAGAAGAACTCTGACAGGTAAAAGAAATACAATCAAATACCTTATCAAATAATTTTACTGGTGCTGCCATAGACCTGGTTTGTTTGAGATAGTCAAACCACTTAAAAGGACCTTTTGTACCTATGTGATGAAAAAAGGAACACAGGATTATTAAGGAATTTTTATACCAAATCAAAGTCAAATATTGTAAAAAAGACATTTTAGATCTTTTTTTTTTAGAAAATCAACCTAAAACTGTTTTTTAAAAATTAATTACCTCGTGGAGGTGTCAGTTCCAGATTATTGATTTCACAGAATCCAACAGGAAAAATACATGGCGATGTTGCGTGGTAACAGAACCAATCACTACCATTCTCAGCCATTGATCCATCAATACCAATCATTAAATAGTTATTGCGAAGAACCTACAAAATCAGTTAACAACACAAATATCAATTTATTACCTTAAAATGTTATAATTTAATATTAAACAACTGTTAAGGGTTAATAAATAATAAAATACTTAAAAAAAAACTTTTTAAAAAACCACGTTTTTCTTGTGGACTAAAAAGTAGAAAATAACTATTTACATACATTTGATGACAAAAAACGTGGGTACGTTCACCATCAAATTTCCCGACCCATCTGCCCGACCCACGTTTTTTGTCATCAAATGTATGTAAATAGTTATTTTCTACTTTTTAGTCCACAAGAAAAACGTGGTTTTTTAAAAAGTTTTTTTTTAAGTATTTTATTTTCTCCTTTTTAGTCCGTTGCTACACATGAAAAACGTGGTTTTTAAAAAGTTTTTTATATAGTTTATTTTCTACTTTATCTAATCACTTGATTAAGTATGACTTGACTAAGTATTTTTAAATACACGGACTAAAAAAATCTTGAGCGACCGATACGCTTTAAACAGAGAAAGGGTGTAATTTACGTTGCTGGCGTGGAGATCTACTCACGAATCATGTGATCAAATCTCCCATAAACAAACAAATAAACGCGAAGCTGAGTTAAGGAAAAACGTGTTTATGTGTATTTTAGCATGCCCAGCGTACCAACCGTGTCACCGTTAACAATGTGTTACCGTGTCCGTTCTCCTTTTTAGTCCGTTGCTACACATAAAAAACGTGGTTTTTTAAAAAGTTTTTTTTAAGTATTTTATTTTCTCCTTTTTAGTCCGTTGCTACACATGAAAAACGTGGTTTTTAAAAAAGTGTTTATAAATACACGGACTAAAAAAATCTTGAGCGACCAGGATTCGAACCTGGGTTGTCGCGGCCACAACGCGAAGTACTAACCACTATACGATCACGGCCAGCGCGCTCACATCGATTGGGGCCGAAGTAACTGTGTCAATAGGCCTCAAGTCTTGTCGGTATCTTTAGAAATCATGTCCTCAATTTTATGGTCCTTGGGGCGTAATTAAATTAAGCTAATTACGGTCACTAATTGCTAGTTTTTATGATTGCATCTGAAATTGTTAGGCGAAAGTAGCATGCATGCCAAATTTCAGGTCTCTAGAGCAATCAGAAGTGGGCTAATTTTCGATGTCAATTTTAACAACAAACAAACAAACAAACGCGAAGCTGAGTTAAGAAAAACGTGTTAAAATATATAAATGAGGAGGAAATCACATAAGAAAAATGTATACATTAAAATAAACTGTATTATTTAGATAAAATTATCATACCTTCATGACTGTTGCTACACAGATAGCAGATAAATTTAGTGGGTCAATGGCCTCCAGTTTCATTCCCACTTGAAAGGCAAGACCATGTGCTGGATCTTTGCACTAAAATTAGATTTTAAAATGTTAAATTTATGATTTCTAACTCTACAAAGAATAAACCTAAAGTTTAAAATTTTCTTTGAACGAAGGTGCTCACCCTGGGAAACATATCAGGCGTGGCATCGTTACAACCATATTTCTGCATAGTTACTTTACTCATACAAGAGCTTAGGTACTCTGAAAAACAAAATTATTTTATCCATAAATCATGAGGTGTTTGTTCATTTAATTTAATTTGTTCTAATTTAAAAAATAATGTAAGAAACAGAAAACTGTTAAAAAACTGCTGAACTTTTAATTACATTAACATGTAAAAAATGTTTCAAAATTTCTACCCTTCCAATATACTGACCAGGTGAAGCATGAAGCTTATGTCCAACCATATGTGACCAACCAACAGGATGAATAAGGGGTGAGGTCATATGGCACCAAAACTCATCATTTTCTTCCTAAATACCACAATATATTGTTTTAAAAATAAATCATCTGCTTACAATAAAAATTATTGTCAGAAGTTACAAAAATACATCACAGATCTTGATAATTTGAATACCCAGCCCAGCTACCTTTGAACTAAAGTATCAAATTAAATAAACCGGTAGTGATCTCCCCTAAACTTTCTCGAATATTCTTATATAAAACAACAGGGGATGGTAACTGGGGATATAGTTATGATTTTTAATCCATTTTAAATACTTAAACTTTTAAAAATAGAATAAAATCTCGTAGACAAATTAATTGCACACCAAGTGAACGCGAATAAAAAAGCGCATAATAGTGCGCAATATTATTAGTACTTTAAAAATTTACATTAGTTTTTTGAGAAATCGGAAGTAGCGTAAATTACTACTTCCAGTCAACGGAAATTACTCAAAATTTAACAGAAGGTAGAGAATTAGATCTTTTACTTACATGTGAAATTTCATTTATCTATCTGAAATAGTACTCAAGTTATAGGCTTTTAAAAAATTCAAAGTAGGAAAAGTACCACTTCCGGTTATCGGAAATCGCTCAAAAGTTGATACGGATCTACGATTTTGATAAAATACTTATATATGAAATTTCTTCAACCTAGCTGTAACGGTACTCAAGTTATCGTGTTTACACACGGACAGACACACACACAGACACACACACAGACATACGGACAGAATTGCAAAGTCCAGTTTTTCAGACTGGATTACGCATAAAACCTCTTAATTTTGATAAATCTGGATTGATAATTTTTGCCCGATTAAAATAAGTCCTCTATACTTCGGATGTGATGAAGGACTGAGGTGTAATACGGTGAAAATTATTAAAATTTCAAATGATTTTTGTGCACGATTACAATACTTTCTCTATACTTCGTATATACGAGAAAGTAAAAACAACAACACAAAGTTTAGCATACCTTGCTATCTAGATAATTCAAGCGCAGCCTGCAGCCAATGATATCTTTGATGGCAGCAACTCTCATTGCAGAAACACACATTTTGTTGACGACTTCCAGCTGCATCCCAACTTTAAGCTTGTGCTCTTGCAGCCACTCCTGGGACTAAACAAGACATTGTTTTGTTTTGTCACAGAAATTCTACTATTAAAAATATTTCCACATAAGATATATGTAACTAATAACCATTATTTTATAACAACAAATACCTTAGTGTAAAAATGTGGAGGAATGGTGCGAGTTCCAGTTAACCTCTTAATTAAAAACTCTTTCCAATCTGAATACTTTTCTTTAATTGCTGAAATTAACAATTGTTGTTTTAGAGTTAAAAAAATAATTCTCAACCATTTACAGTCCTACGCGCTCGGGGTTGCCTGGGAATTTTTTAGTGTGGTATAGTTCAATGGACCAGCTGCCACCCTGAACTATGTATAGTAAGTTTATGTACAAGTAGTTACAGAAATCTAGTTAATAGCAAGATTTTAAAGATACCGCAGCAAATAAAAAAGTTTTATTTACATATTAAAATCAATTAAAATGCCTATGCTATTGAATCAGGCTTAATTTATAATGTAACTAATACGGTGATTTGAAAAAGAAAGTAGTAAAAATATTATTTTTATTAGCATTTAAAATATTTTTTTTTTACCAAATATTCGAAGTAGCGTTTTGTTTTCTGGGATTAGTATGATCTAAAGATTATTAGTAAACTAGTAAGCTATTTAACCTAACTATTTAACAAAATAAACTTTTTATTTTTTCAAATATATTTGGTTATTTTTAAATAATTAAAAAAAAAGACAGTTGTTGAAAACTGCGTTGTCTTTTCACCTGGCCGTAGGGAAAGAAAATAGTTTTGATGCTCTGGACTGTAAAGGGTTGATTACTAAACAAATATATATATATATATACAAGACCAAATTGATGTGTGGCATTAAACTTAGTTGGAATGTAAAAAAAAATTACATAAATGTTAAGGAGTTTGGTCTCCAATAAAACCTGATGGCTGACAAGAACTACTTACTTCTAGGAGGCGCCAACATTTTCCCATAAGTGGCACACCAGCCAACATTATGTACATCCTCTGACAACAAGTTGCTCCAGAAATCTTTTGATCCATCACTGCCAAATCCTTCATATCGCAGTAGAACTTTATAGCCTATTTTAACACATGGTGAAAAATGGCATTAGGATGGTTATGCTTTACTTTTAAATATTTAAAAAAATGTTTTGAAGCAACAAATGATAGACAAATACTTACCACAAATTTTTAAGACAGTTGCAATCCAATATACCCTGATGTCTTTACCCACTTCTAGGTCTGTGTTAGGCACTTCCACAAGAACACCATCTACCATTTGCTCCCAACAATCATGCATAGGTACCTGAAATAATTTTAACATTTTCAAAAAAATATTCTGTTATGTATTGTTAGAATTTTAAAAAGTAATTGCAAGTTCAATACATACATGCTTGAAACAAGAGACAGAAGCTGCATTGGCTTGGCTACTGATCAAGTAAGGACCCCAATCAAACACCCGACCTGTTTCTGAAAACAGATAAACAAATTGTTTAAAATTTTTCTGGTCATGTTTTTTTTCTTGCTAAAAGTTTTCCAACTATATCTAAATAGTGCGAGGGAACTTCAAAATATAATTGCTTACCACCTCGTAAAGATGCTTTGAGCAGGTTTGGCTGTGTCTTTGGGTTGATTTTCTTAGATCCTGGCTTGCCCTAAAACAACAAAAAAAACAAACAAAAAAGATAGTTAATTATAAAACATTATAAGAAGGCATTTATATCACTGAAAGTAACAGCAGAAAATGTGTTAATGACAAATAAACTTTACCTTTTTTACAGCAGAGGGCAAATTAAGCTTTGGTGTTGAAGGTTTCCCCTCACGTTGATGAGTAGCAAAGCTCCGTGAGCATGAAAGACTACAAAAGCGCTTAGACTTTGAATAGAAGGCATGTTTGACACCCACTGAACCACATCTCTCACATGTAGCTGTAAATATATTATCTTGTGTTTAGAAACACTATTTTTTCATAACTTCTAAATCATTTAAAAATAAAAACATTATCCTCCCATTATAAATGAGCTATTGTCTCACCCATTCCTTCTTTGTTGTTGAGAAACCTGTATTTTGAAACTCCTTCATTGTCAAAGATTTCATCATCCAGTAAAGAATCATCCAAGTCATCATTATCTGAACTTATTCCACTTTCGTTGTAGCTGTCGTAACCATCATACATTCCTAACGAGCTAGCAAAATCATCATCTCCCTATAGAAGAATAAAACAAACAAGCTAATGACTTCATTCAAGTGTTCAAAAGGCAATTGCTATTTTAAAAATTACTATTTGATAGCTGTTGAGGCAGAAAAAGTTCATTTTAAATGTAATTTGTAAATTTCCAGAGTTACCTATACATGAAAGAGAGCTAAATATTTTGCTGAAAACAGTTTAGCACTTGGCCATCACTTTTAAATAGATAACATGTTTACTTCAGCACTCTAGAACTACAGATTGGTCTATTTAAAGTGTATCAAACAGAAACTTGTAATTTTAAGGTGACAACTTAATCCACCTGGAGAATATTCTATAAACTGGCTCCTAAGTAGCATGTTATGTCAATTGTAGTAGCTTTTATACTGCTTCATAAAAATGCATTTGTTGAGATTTCAATTCATGCATCATCTAATTCACAGTTTACCACTTGTTAGAGATCCACCCACATATTTACTATTTATTCATGATGAAATTACTGACTTTAAAACTTCAAATTTCATCTACAACTAAAAACATGAGAATGTTCTTCTAGTCTGAATAAAATAACCAACCTGATCAGATCTATTATCAATGGACCCCATTGAAGATTCATCCTGCTTTTGGAAGCTCCCAAGTACTGAGTCATCCCGGTCTCCTAGACTCAGGTTACTCCAGTCTAGAAAAAAAAAATGAAAGCCAAGTTACAAAATAATACATAGGCTGCTTGGATTTTAAGACTCAGTTTTATTTAGAAAAATATTTGGCTTTTAATAATTTTTATCCATTATTAAATTACAGTATAAGAAGAAGAAAAAATGAAAATAAAGAATCTAGCTGCTAAAACACTTACCTGCATCTCCAGTTTCCTGAAAAATTGAAAAAATAATAAAGTAGAGAAATGTATAATTCTTAAAAATAACAATATGTAGGTAAATAAAGCTGGAGTTATCTCCTGTAAACTTTCTCAAATACACTTATATATCACTAGTGGGGATGGCAATTCGGGATATAGGCATGATTTTTAATCAATTTTTAATTACTTAAACTTTCAAAAATAGAATAGAATCTCATAGAAAAAAGAATTGCACACAAAGTGAACAGCAAACAATGTGTGTACAATAGTGCGGAATATTAGTACTCTATAAATTCATGTGTTTATTGAGAAAAAAAATTACTCAAAATTTGATAGAAGGCAGATAATTTGATCTTTTACTTATATATGAAAATTGTCTATCTATCTCAAACAGTACTTAAGTTATGGGCTTTTGAAAAAGCATAAGTAGAAAAAATTCCAGTTCTGGTTACCGGAAATAGCTGAAAAGTTGACACAGACCTACAAATTTGATATATTACTTATATATAAAATCTCATCAACGTAATTGTAATGGTACTCAAGTTATCGCATTCACAGACACACAGACAAGAATACAGAGAAAATAGCGTAACTATGTAGTATGTTTTTCCGACTCAGGGAAGTATAAAATGTCGAGATTTGAGAAAACCCTGTCCCAGCACGATAACACATAGGCCTAAACAACAATCATTTAGAAATTAGATGACAAGAAAAACCAGGTAATTGATATTGTAGCACTATGCACATCTTCTTGCGGCTAACCCCCGCTAAAAGCAACCATTATAATATTTTTCATAGTAAAGTGATTGGTTAACTATATATACTAGATCTAGATCATTCAGAGGAGGATAAAGATTTTAATAATGAAACAAATTAAGCAGCTATGCTGTGTAACTTGGTTCATTTATGAGATAAAATTAAAAAAAAGGATATCATCAACTGCTACAAAAACGAATCCGATAAAGTTTGAGTCTAACAAGTAGGCCTAGCCTATATTTCTTCTTTATTTTCACTTTGTAAGTCCTTCTCTGTCCTCTTCATATAACTTATAACTCAGTAGAAATGAGTGAGCAGATCTAGACCAGTAGTGTATACCAAAATTTGAAAATACCAATGCATATGATAAAATAAACAGGAAAACTGAGTATTCAATCACCAAACGCAGACTGTTACTAAAAACATTTACCTGTCACCTAACAGTAACAGTTTACTATCAGGTTAGGGCCGTTAGATCTGGGTCTTGAATCTAGAAAACCCAACAGGACTAAAAAAAATAAGTCTACAAATAGATCTAGTGAGAAAAAAACGTTTTTTAATTAAAATTTTATCGAGGCAACTTTCTCCAAGTTAAAAAAAAAATTCAGCAACGCAGACCAGATCAAGAAATCAACTCTTCAGATTAGATTAAATCTAATCTAGCTTGTACTGATTTTTCAGTTAAAGTAACGTGTAATTTTTCAAACAGTACCATATTCTCACCATATTAATCACAGCATAGTTTAAATATTATGAATGTAGAAATCTGATTGTTGAAATGTTTAAAACAATAACAAAACAATGGGAGAAGCAGGTAAATAACTTCTGCAGCGAGACAACACAAGCTTTAGCTACTGCGCATGCGTCGTGACTTTCGCATCCTAGAGATACGGAAATGGATTGGATAGTGTTTGCATTATGAAAAAGGCTTTCCCCGTTTCATCCAATGAATTTGCGAAATTAATAAACCTGATGATAATAACTCAAGAACGTTTACTCTAGCCTAACGGGGGTTTCTTTACTGCTTGTATTATAAGTAAGAGTTAGTAAGACTAGGAGGAGTGTAGAGTCGAGATCTATTTTGAAGCTAGATCTACAAAGCAGAGAGAAAAAATGTAAGCATTTGTAACTTAAATGGGTACCTCAGCCCATGTGGTTTAAATTTAGATCTAGATATCTGATTATTAAAACATTTTTTCGAATAAACAGTCCGATTATTTTTTAAAATGACCTCGAAAATCAGAAAACAAAAACACAAAGGAATGTGGGGGGGGGGGGGGGGGGGGTCCACAATGGTTTAAAAACTCGTCTTACTATATTAGGCGGATTAGCATTAACTGTGCATACTGTGCAAACTATCACCCGGGTGGGGGTAGGGGGTGACACCAACTACAAAATTTGCAGAGGTAGGCCTAAATCTATTAATTTACGATGAAAATGATGCCATTTCCAAATGAATTAATAGGTGGCTTAATAATGAGCGCACAAATTGCCAGTATTAGACAAAATGGGAAGGGCTGATACCAATTGTAACTATATATATATATATAAAATTCAATTTAATTATCAGGCAGGGGGATGACGGGACACCATGAGGTGCCGCACTGGGTGACACCCAACCTAGACGCAACTGAATCCTCTTTACCTCTTGTGGAGCATAGGGTTTCAACCATAACCTTAGTTTTAGTCTGGTCCCCAGCTGTTAATTTTGCAGCCTCCCAAGATATCCCTGCTGTCTTCTTGTGTGCCCTCTCTTTCGCTTGCCTGGGCCCCAGGCTTGGGGTTCCATTCAAGCTCCTGGCATGTCACATTAGAGTTAGCCTTTCACAGTGTGTGTCCCATCCAGAGTGAGAAGGGCTCCTAAAAGGCCAAAGAGTCTCTATAGTCACACTGTTAGAGGAGGGTTGGAATGTTGTGATGATGTGTGACAAGGGGAGTTGGTCACTGTTGTTCAAAATCTGCATATATTAGTCTTTTCTGTAAATACACAAAAAATATTTTGTACATTGCTGTGGCACCATGAAAGTGATTTTAACCTCTTTTTTCCCCATAAGATGACTTAAACTCAATTAAGTTTGCTACCATACATGTGTCTATAGCAACCTTTTTGAATAGAGAGCCAGTGTGAAAATTCTTTCTGATAAAAAATTTATGAGGGAGACACATTCACTAGATTACTAGAAATTAGACAGTTGTTCTGAATAATGCTTCACATTTAAAATTTTTTTAAAACAGTTGGCATAGATGCACATGATTGTTTTCACTCCTTTTTTTAAAAAAAGCTGTATTCTGCTCCAGATTGAGATCTTCAGCTTGTTAATTCTATTAAGATAACTATTTAAAGGGGTCGGTGTGGTTGAGTCAGTAAAGCTGATGGTTGCTAAACCGAAAAGTCTTGAGTTCGAACCTTTGGGCAGATGAGGCTCGTTAGCTGGAGACATCCACTCTTCTAGGAAAGACAACTACAAAAGCAAACAACTGCTGCCTTGTAGTTTGTTCTTGGTTGGACAAAGGCTATGAAAACAAATCCAAAAAGAAAAGCAGGCTGAAATCGGAGTCAATGGCCTCAATGGCGCATAACCAGTTGACACGTATCCTTAATTGTGATGGAAGCGTGGTCGAGTCGGCCACAGCTCATGGTTGATAAATTCGAAAAAGTCTCGAGTTCAAACCCTCTGGCACATATGAGACTCGATCCCTTCCAACACTAAAAATTAAGAACAAAGAAGAAGAAGAACTATTTAAAAATTATTTTAAACTTTAAATTAATTAACACCATTGTTCAGTAAATTAATTAAAACTAATTCTTTAACTTTTACAGGTCTGAGTACTGGAAGTCTGTTCCTAGAAAGTTTTGTGATTTCTGTAAATGTTGGATCACAGACAACAAACCAGTAAGCAAACAGTTTCACTGGAAACATTTAACATTCAAAATTTACATTGAAATCATTGTAATGTTTTGCAATAAAACAAGAAATTTGAAATGTAAAATGTATCATTGACTTCTATCTCAAACTAAATCTAGATTCTAGAATTAGCAAAATGTTCTTTAAATTAAAAAAAAATCCCAATAAAAAGTTCATGCCATCTGAAAACAATGGGTTGAACTAATAACACCAGTCTTCTTAAAATGCACACAACTTGCATACATATCTCCAAGCTTGACTGATATTTTCTTGGGTTGTTGCAATTTAACACCAGCAACATTATTATAATAAATAACCAATAATCATTGACTGCTTGTTTGACTATATTGGAGTTAATGCTAGTTACTAAATAATTTTTTTTCATTCTGTAGAATATTAAAATAATAAAACTTAATTAACTCTTAAATGATCCTGCATGCTATATTAAAGATGTGTAGTATATAGCTAGATATACAACATAGAGCATTCAATGCACAAGCTGTTGTTATTGAACCAATTATTTCAAAACAAAAAAAAGTGAAAGGAAGCCCAAGTGCTTTGACAGACATAACAACACTGTTTTGTACAGATGTTGACCTAAATAACAGTTGTATGTGTCATAACATTTAGAGGCCACTGATACATTTTTCTTTTTGTAATACTTTTTTCTTTTTGTAATACTTTTTTAAATACTTGTATGTTACTGTCTAAGAGTAAGCTATAGTTTTTTTAAGGAAATAATTTTATCTTGGAAATACTATGCATATCTTTTAAAGTAATTTATAATTACACTATTACAGTCTACAACTACAAATGACTTTTTAAAAAAATAATTAAAAATATTAAATATTTTAAATTACATTTATATAAATGTCTGCATTTAATTTAAAATACTAATCTAAATCTTTTAAGTCTAATTATTCACAACTTTATAGAGTGTTGAGTTTCATGAGAGGGGCAAAAGACATCAAGAAAATGTTGAACTTCGTCTTAAAGAGGTAATTGTTCATCATTTATTTCTGAGATTTTGTGGTGTAAAAGAATTTGGTTTTTCTCGAAAATTAAGATATTTCATGCTGCAGAGCTAAATCCCATATCTACAACTCCATAGGTTAGAAAGAAAAGTCTTCAGAAATCAATTGAAGATGAACAGATGTCGAAAGATATGGAAAAAATGGAAAAGGTAAAGTTATAGATTGTTAGCAATTTTAATGGAATAAGTGTTACTATACTACGTGAGGCACTTTTGTATTGTTTTTCTTAGGAACTATGAGATTCGCTAATGAATATTTTAATAAATAATGAAATACTGTTGTGCTAAGTTCATATATAACAAAGTAAAGCCATATGTATTATAAAACTCACAAGACCTTAATTTTAGCTTTTAAAAAAAAAGGTAACAAATTATTTTCTATAGGCTGCACTTGAGGCATTCAAGAGAGATCTAAAAGAGAACCCAGAACTTGCTGCCAAGTATGGTGTCTCTTTAGAACCAAAACCAGACAATGCACGTAAGTTGTGACAGAACTAAACATATTTCATAACCGCGTACTTAAAAGTGTTGATTTAAGTAATAGAGAATTCTTTATATTATGATGTCATTTTGAATGATAATAAGTTGTAGTACATATTTAAACATTTTTACCATTTGCTATTGATGTTTAGAAAAGCAGAGTTCACTTGGAACTCCCAGTGATAAACAGAGTAAAGAATCAGAAGCCACAAATAAAAAAAGTAAAAAAAAAAGTAAAGAATCAGAAGCTGCTGGTAAAAAAAGTAAAGAGCCCAGTGGTAAAGAATGGTTTGAGACTGCTACCCCAGATGGTCACCAATATTACTGGAGTACACTCACAGGAGGTAACTCTAATTTAATATTCAGTTATTTCAACCAGGAATATTTCGTTTTATAGCCAATATTTATGCTGAGCCCATTAATTTATGCTTACTTATGTTATTAATTGTTTATTACAATCCAAATATATTCTGGAAATTACTTACTCCTTTTTCAGAAAATTTTTACTTAATCATCCTGATTTCAGCATTTGATGCATAATTTAGATTCCTTGATTAATGCCTTTAAGGAGGGACCAGTACTTAATTTTTATTTTATTAAAGATCAGCTATTGAACATTGTCTACATATCTAAAACAAAGATATTAATATCTTTTTAATATAACATATCTCAAACATGTTGAGAACAAATGTTGAACCCCAAAAAGTTGAGTTTATATGCATTTTTATAAACAGTTTTGTATGCAATAAATCTCAGTATCTATAACACATAATTATATATAAAGTAACAGCCGCATTTAGAAATGGTTACAGAACAACCTAATAGAAGGATTTTTAGATAAAACACAAACTCTTTAAAATATGAGTTTTTTTCAACGTCACTTAGAAAAAAAAGAGCCTTTGGTGGAGAGACATAAACTTTAAACAACCATAAAAATAAAACATAGGTATCATTAAAAGCTTCTTTCATGTTTCAGAAAAACATGTATTGTAAAGACTGTGCAAGTTTCATTGCATTCATTCTGTTTAACAATTTTTGAGATATCTTCATTAGAAATTTTGGAGTTGGCCAAAATGTGTCGATGGCTGTTTGTGTAAAAAATAAAATGTTATCAAAACAAGTCGTCTATAAACACTAAAATAAGTATTTCTACACAATTTTTGAGTACAATAGATTAGTTCAAGTAATGTAGGGGATGTTAGAGCTGCTTTAAACAATTAAATATACATAGGCAAGAAGATCATGAAAAATGTGATTTTTAACTACTGGTCTAAGATTTGAAATTTAAATAAAATTTAAAATAAAATTTAAAAGTTGTTTATTTCAATTTATGTTTATTTATTGAAATACCAGTTTTTAAAAAATTAAATTTCAACAGGTAGGCCTACTTTGACCATAACTTTTTTTAATAGTAACATTTACATTGTTGTGAAAGGTTTACAATTTTTAAACCTTTATTCAGAATCCAGGTGGGATGCACCAGATGATTTTCTATCCATAGCAGAACAAGAAGAGTTGAAAAGTAAACAAAGTTCTAATTCCAAAACACCAAATGATAATTCAACTGATCCAGTTTCTAAAGGCAATGTGAGTTGAGAGGATTTTTTAACCATATGTATAAGTAGATGAAATTATTTAATATCAAAGTATCACTACAGTGCATGTTAGTTGTTATAGATGTAAATTTTATTGTTGGAGATTTTATTTTGTCAACCTGATAAAATTATAAAAATTAGGAACCCGTGACAAAGAAAACAAAGGAACCTCCCAAAAGAACCATATTAGACCCCAAACACAACAGGTCAGCTTATGGCTCATGGAGTGTTGTCAAAGAAGTGAAGTAAGTTGCATCATTTTGGTATTATCACACTAATATATAAAACAGTGTTACACTAATTATTAAAAAATTAAAAATTTGTAAGTTAATCAAAATAAGTTTTCTAGAAAAGGAAGTTAAAATAATTTCAGGAATGACCACAATTTCCAATAAAAAATAATTTATGCCCATGAAAAAAACAGGTTGATTCAAATTACTTGTAATGGACAACTTCAGACATAAAATACCCTATTCAATAGGCTAAAAATAAATTCTTTCTGACCTAATGGTCAATCAGGTGGATAGTCAATATGCTTATCTGGGTCAGAGCTGGGTGATATATTACTGACTTGAGCATCAGTTAAGGGTAGCTTCAATTATTTTTTTGCCATCCCATTATAGATAATAGCTTTAAAAACAGGCTTATATCAAGCTTTATTTTTGCCTCATTATTCTTAAACAGTCTCTTTCAATGCAATGAAACCAACACATTTTAAAATCTATTTTTAGACAACCCATTGTTTATGATGAAACAAGTGCTGCTCCATCATTAGAAGAAATTCCTTTACCACTGGAACATTCAAATGGACCTCCAAAAGAGAGAGCACCTAAATTCAAAGAAAAGACAGTTACCTCCCTGGGTAGTTCATCTGGTGAGAGTGTTGTTTTTAAAAAACGGAAGATAGCAGCAGGAGCAAGAAATACCAGACAAAAAGACAATAATGACTGAGTGTTAGGAAATGATGCTTATACAGACTATGTATATATAAATATGAATAAAATATACTTGTAATAAATATGTAACCAAAACACAAATGTGTTTTTTTTCAGATTGTATTAGGTTAGCTATAGTTATATGTAACGAAAACACAATTGTCTTTTTTCAGATTGTATTAGGTTAGCCATAGTTATAAAGTAAATTATTTGTAGAGTACATTACTATTGCTGCATTACTATAAAGCAAGGACAGCAAAATTATGGCTTACATTTCAGGCATTTGTTGGTCAGTTTTAAAAAGACCTTTATTTTTTTAACATGATATAGAAAAGCAGTGAAACAATGCTCTTAACATTATTTACAAATGATGTAATAACAAAGATATTGTTAGTAATATATATTTATTTATTTACATATAATCTGCATCAACAGTTTATTGCATTACAGTACATTATAAAGATATTTACAAGTTATTCAATCTGAAATACATAACTAAGTATTGTATTAGTGAGTAATAAATCTGGTACTACTGCAAAGACACCAAGGTAATTAAACACAGAAATTACGTTAAATTTGGTCATATGAAGTCAATGCAAAATATATTTGACACTAATTTTTGATGAAACCTTTTTTAATTTTTTTTTCTATAGTTCTATTCATGTTGAAGAGAAATTGGTGAAATAATATTTATTGCTACTAAGGTAGTTGTGAACAGTTAAAGTGCAGACTAATAAAACATTTTTACAGATTAAATGTTAAGTTTTTAGCAAACTAAAATGTGTAAAGAAATTCATCAAAACAAAATTGGTGATGTTACAGACACAGCCTTTTCTGAAATGCCATTTGATACGTTTTAAGATGGTGCTGGGAATTTAAAACAAGTACGATGACAAATTTTGAGATTTTAAAAATAAAAGTTCCTTTTTGGATGTAAATGAACAAGGCAAGTGAAATTCATCTGAATGGTATTATGCAAGTAATGAAAGGCATATAACAATTAACAAGGGTAGGAAACTGATTCTGGAATGGATTCCATTCATATGTCATTACAAGTGTAAAATAAGATCCAGGAGTGATAGCATAAATAAAAATTGGAGAATATCTGGAGTATAATAGTTTCACAATTTTAGCATTTTTTTTTTACAAAATTTCTACCCTGGGTTCAGTTAAGAAACAAAATAATTTTCTCTTAATTATTTTACAGTTTGCAAATGATATACATATCTAGTGATGATTACGGTAGATGAGGATTTAATTATTACTTTTTGATTAGTTTGTAACAAAATACATTAAAACTGATTTCATAAACAAAAAAATTGCTTTTAATCCATAAGTACAAAATCAGCACTTCTTTTTTAAAACAAATTATGCCTCAGCATTGGTTAGGAATTTTATTCAAATTTAGATTATGGTGATTAATTAAAAAAATGTAGTTTAATAAAATATCCATGGTCAGTAGAAAAATAATTATTGGAACACAATGCAGTATTAAACTATTTGAACATATCAGCTGTGTAAAACAAAAATTACCCGCTGAAGTATTTACTTTGATACTTTCATATCTAAAAAATCAAACATTATAAGTTAAGTTATTTAAAAAAATGTTTTACAATATAGTTGGAAAACTTCATTACTACTTTACAAATGGAATACATTATTATTGATGAATTGTGAAGTAGACTAACAAAAGAATGTGCCTAGAACTGAAAACTGGTAGGTAAGGTTAGACTTTAAATTGGCACAGCTATTGAGAGAAAAAGTAAGATGACTTAATTAAATTACAGGACTCATTTCTATGTCTACCTCATCATGGTTCTCAAGTAAACTCTTCTGGTCTGGGGTAGTGACGTTGGTGGGTTTTAGCCAGCTCCACTTGGAATGATTGCTTGTTTGTCGTGGTGTGCGCAGTGGGTTCTCCCAGTCATCACCTCTGTGCATGGATATGTCGTCTGTGTCTTGATCTTGGGAGAACTTTTTGTAGTACTCAGGGGTTAACAAATCTTCTTTTTTAGGTTTACGGAACCTGGGCGTGAATACAGACACATAATATATGGATCTAATACTAAGAAAACTTATAAACAATGATTATTTTTAAATAGTGGATCTCATATTCTTGGACTGTTTAAAACATTTAAAAAAAAAACAGACAAGATAATGCTGAATTTTTTATAAAGATATTTTGTATTAACCATTAATGTCCCATTCATTCTACCAAAACTCCACCCATGACGGCCCAATGTAAGGAGCATAACTCTGTATGATCAAGTGAATAGTTTCACAAAATATTTGTTTTTGTCTAAATGAAATTGAAAATTATGATAAAAACTACTGCTTAATGTTGGGAATAAACCTGGCTTTCCAACAGTATTAAATAGAATATATTATATTCGGTACAAGTACAGTATAAAAATAAAAAATGTCGGAGAAAATTCAAAACAGGTCATTTTCGGTAGTCAACTTTATTTATTTTTGTCTAAACAACTATGCATCGAATTTAACAGTTAAATATCAATTTGGTTATGTTTAAGATATATAATTCATAAAATTCATGCCTAGATACGTATAGAGGCATTATTTTATTTTATTTTTAATATTAAATCTACTAAAAATAGGACAGATGAGTCTAAAATTTCGAGATAGAAAGAAACTATTATTTTTTATCTTTCAAAAGCGCCATTGAAATTAGAAGACCGGAAAAGGATGCTGAAACTATCCGACTTCCTGTTTAGTTAAAAATTAGGATTTGTAGGCCAAATTTTAATGAAACAAATTTAATTTTTCTATGCGTATTGTAAGCGGGCGGCAGCGGGCGTTACGGGACATTAACGGTGTCGGGCGGCAGCGGGCGTTACGGGACATTAATGGTTAAGCAAGCTTTGTAATGGCCTTACGTTTTGAGTAATAATGAGGCAGCAACCACAGAGACAGAAGAAGCGGCCATTGCTGCTGAGGCCATCCAGGGACGTAACTCTAAACCAATGGGCATAAACACACCTGCAGATGTTGTTAATGGTTAGAAGTGATAACTTTTTAAAAAACATAACTAGTCAGCATTAATAACTTCCATGAAAGAATATTCCACTTCCAAAGAACTAACCAAATTTGTTTTTCAAAATAATTACCTGCTGCAATAGGTATTCCCAATAAATTGTAGATACAGGCAGACACAAAGTTGATATGGATTCTCCTCACTGTCATTTTAGATAATTTAATTGCGGAATAGACATCCAACAAGTCATTCTGCAATTCAATAAGATCATTTTCAGTTTATTATGATAGACTAATTTTGAAACTAGAATAACATACAGGTAAATGAAATATGACAAAAACAAAAAAATGAAAGGGCAGCCCATAATAAAATTTCTTGATCCCCACACCCAAACATCATTTAAAAACTACCTCTCTTCTTCTAAAAACATTAATATAAGGGTTCGGCGTGGTTGAGTCGGTAAAGCTCATGGTTGCTAAACAGAAAAGTCTCGAGTTCAAACCCTCGGGCAGATGAGGCTCGTTAGCTGGGGACAGCCACTCTTCTAGGAGAGACAACTCCAAAATTAAACAACTGCTGCCTTGTAGTTTGTTCTTGGTTGGACAAAGGCTATGGAAGCAAATCCAAAAAGAAAAGCAGGCTGAAATCGGAGTCAATGGCCTTAATGGCGCATAACCTGTTGACACATAACGCTTAATTGTGTTGGAGGCGTGGTCGAGTCGGCAAAAAGCTCATGGTTGATAAATTCGAACAAAGTCTCGAGTTCAAACCCACTGGCAGATAAATCTCGATCCCCTTCAACACTAATAATTAAGGAAGAAGAAGAAGAGCTGGTCCTCGCATCCTCCACCAGTTGCGAGAAATCAATGACTATTGATCTCAAAGGTTACAAGAGAAAATGTTCCAGTGTTATGAACTCTTAAGCACGAACAATAATTATCAATGTATGCAAAAGAAATCTGAAATAAGCAGATCAATGATAAAGGAGTATTTCGGTGTAAAATATTTTACCTTTATAAGAACAATATCTGCTGCCTCAACCGCTACATCAGTCCCAGTCCCAATGGCGATTCCAACATCAGCCTGAGCAAGGGCAGGTGAGTCATTGACGCCATCACCGACCATTGCCACTTTGACACCAGAGGACTGGAGGTGCTTAATTTTCTTCACCTTGTGGGATGGGAGGACTTCGGCAAAGACTTTGGTGATGCCAACCTTCAAGAAACACAAAATTAAAGTTTTTTTTACATAATCAATAATTATTATTATACTCTGTTGTTTTGGAGTAAAAAGGGACATACATGATTTTTTGGTATTTCTCTTATGAGTGCACGTATACTGTTTATTATTACATGGGAAATTTTGTATACATATTAAATATTCTAGAATCTGGATAAATTAAGAAAAAAAAATCTATTGACATTGAAAACATTTGTTGATCTGCCTTGCAGGAAAAATGTACTCAAATGTTTTGTAACAAACTTGTCCAAACTATAAAAGACTTAGGATAATGAAGAATTAAATTAATTTGAAAGAAACTGTATTCTGAGATTAAATTAAGGACAAACAAATAATAATGGAATTTAATTTAAATATAGCCTTTTGCCTATAGTTAAAATGAATAAGTGAGAACAGCAATAGAAGTTATGAAATCAACAATAATTGTGTGGCTAGTCACCTGCTTGGCTATTGCCGCTGCAGTTTTCTGGTTATCCCCAGTGAGAAGTATAACCTGTAAACCCATTTTCTTGAGCTCGTGTACAGCCAGATGTGCTTCAGACTTGACTGTATCAGCCACAGCCAGCATGCCCACAATCACACCTTAGATGGCAAACAATAACAATGTGATTATTACAGCGCAAAGTGGGTGCCACCTTTGTAAAAGATTTTGTATTACAGATTTGTACTTAGTTTATAATGCTATGTTTTTGAGATTACATTAGCTGAGAACTGAGACATTTAGTTAGAGATTGCAAAAGATTGACATATTCTAAACAAATGTTTAACAGTTGAAGAATGTGAGTAAAGGTATCTTTCAGACACTAAAGTTCAAATGGCAGAGTTAATCTCATTCTTTAACCTTAGCAAATGTGTTCAGCACTATGCTTTTACTTTCCCAGAATCCAATCCTATACCCTTTATCCTCATGGACAAGAACTAAACATAAGACTTTCTAGTTAAAAATACTGCCCTACCACTCAACCACACCACCTAGCTAGTGGGAGACTGACATATCTAAAAAAAAGGTTTAACAAATACATTATGTATCTGTATCTAACTGAAATTAATAACAGAAACACCATGAGTCTGTATCTAAAACCAATGTGGGCTGACCATCAAAAGCACACAGAACTACCCTGTGTCGTTTATCTATCATCTAAATGAAATGAATGAGTCTGTATCTAAAGCCAATGTGGACTGACCATCAACAGCACACAGAACTGCAGTGTGCCCTTTGTTCTCATGCTCAATCATCACGTCATCCATGGTTTCCTCCACTGTCAGCCCATTCCTACTCATCCACTCACGGTTGCCAATCAGAACATCGTACAACTGAGATGCTTGAGCTGCCATTGGCAAATCTGAGCAAGTTGGCACAAAAAAAATATGTTTAACAATTTCAATTTTCAAAAACTTCTTTCTATTTAAATTGTAACATTATAGTAAATTCACAAAATAAACTAAAATTTTAAAAAATTCAACTTTTTTAAACACAAGTGTGTGTGTAAATATTCCATATTTGTAAATAGTTACAAAGTAACAAAAACAACTTTTATGCAAATTATATTACTTAAAATATATCAAACCTTGTGCATTTTACAGTGTTTATATTATTTGCTGTAAAAAATTATTTGTGCTTCAATAATCAAAAGAACATAAATAGAAAGATGTGAGATCTTCATGAAGTTTGAGTAATTAAGTACATTGAACCTGTGAGAAGCATAGGTAATCTACAAATGTTCTAAATGGATCCTGTTTAAAAATAAATATTTCAACCTGTACCTCTAGTATTTTTTTGACAAAAAAAAAAACAAAAACATTTAAAATAAATTTTTTTAAGAATGAACATTTTTAAGAGACTCACTGAGAATATTGTTGCTCTCGTCCTGGTTATCAAACAACAAATTGTCTATTTTGATCAGCTGACTCCCGTACTTGTTCTTCCTGTTGTTGACCCCCTCCATGTCCAGGCCCAGCAGTAAAGATTCAATGTTGGACACTTTACACTTGATCCCACAGCCAGGGACTGCTGAGAAGTCTGAGGCTTTCCCCAAGTTGTCTGCTGCCAGGGTCTGGAACAAAATTTATTTTGGATAAAATCAAAACAATTTATCTGGCAAGCATTGGAGAAATTTTTTTTTAAACCTTAGTTAGAACTTAAACTATTTATTTTGGCTAGCATTAAAAAGTTATTTACTTTATCTTAAGGACATGAACAATTCATATTTTCAAAATTTTGACATAAAAATGTCTTTTAATTTACGTTAATTTATAGTGAATATTTTCTCAACCCATTAGGTAATGAAGTAGCTCATTTTTAAACCAATTAGTGACACATCAATTGAAGTATATTTATAATATGTAAAAAAAACCACACATTTATTTATTCTAAAACTAATTTCTCCTCTAATTTTCTTATCCCTCTACAAATGATGAACAACAATAGATAACAGCATTTCACTAATTTGGTGAAGACGCACATTGTTATTAAGCAAAATAACACACATTTCATGAATTTGATGAAAGTATTTTTTCTTCGTACCTCTTTAACATACTTGAGGATGGCAGAGGCTATGGGATGCTCACTGCCAGTTTCTGCTGTACCAGCAATAGCAAGAAACTTTATAAAGGAGAATGTTGACTCCTTTACAAACATTGAGACTCTTGCCACTCTTGGTACACCATGGGTTATTGTCCCTGTCTTATCAAAGACTATTACTTTGAGCTGTAAAAAAAATAAACCATGGATTATTGTTCCTTTCTTATCACAGACTTTTAACTTTGAAAGCAGAAAAGAAAAAATAAAGGGTTTTGTCCCCAACTTAAAAAAAAAAAGTAACTTTAACAGTGGAAAGTGCCTTCCCCCTTTTCACATCCCTTTTTTCCTAGAGAGAATGAGGTTTATATTTTAGTAACTGTTAGATAAGCTTCAATTTAATTTTGAAATGTTTTCCTATTTCCAGGGGTTTTCTTCCTTCTTGTATGGCTGTTTGGGTTAGAATTAGGCTTAATATCAGGGTAGGGGCAATAACAAAAAGTAACAAGCATAACTCTGCAGTACCTTGTGGGTGAGCTCTAATGGCTCGCCTCCTTTAATCAAGATGCCATTTGTGGCCCCTACACCAGTTCCCACCATCACAGCCGTAGGGGTGGCTAAACCCAAGGCACACGGACATGCAATACTCAACACTGTGATTGCATACTGGAAAGCTTTCTCTAAGATCAACTCTGTCATTGGAACTGGACCCTTTGGCTGCAGAAAACATTTGTAATCACGTTTTATTAGTATAAAAAACAACAAAGCAAATCAACAAAAGTATAAATGTTTCACTAAAAGTTACATTTTAAATATTTGTTTTCTAGCTTTTTTCCAAGGCAGCAATTTGTTTTTTAATGTGCAAAATATATATCTGAATTTAAAAGCTAATAAGATCTAAAAACAATTAGAAGAAGTTAACAATTTTTAAACAAGAATTAGACATTGCCCCAATACAGCACTTAGTTTCCAAGCATGTTGAATCTACTGCAACTTACATCATAATGTTTGTCCAGCAATGACACATCAGTGTAGCCAATGGCCATCCACACAATAAGGGTCACAAGTGACAAAGCTGTGACCACTGGAACAAAGATACCTGCGATCTTGTCTGCTAAGTTCTGTATGGGGGCCTGAAGAAATAGAAACAATTTAAATTATTTATTTTCAATCCAAAGCTACATAACTAACTTAATAACCAACTTAACAAAAATGTAAAAAAAAAATGCTCATTGTATCTAAACCCTTTTTCTAATATACAGCTAGGAATAAAGTCCACCTTAATATTAAATGCAAGTTAATTGTTATTGCTATTCCATTGCTTTTGTATCTTTAAGTGTACACTAACCTATTAAAGACTTCAAAAATATATTTTTAAATGGTTTGAACACTTCACAGTGTAAAATATCTGCCTGGGAAGTATTATCTCAGCCACATACTGCACAGCTAAAGGAAAGAATAATAATATTTCTAGTGAGATTTGTCTCACCTATAGAACAAACTTACTTTGGATGTCTGCGCCTCCTCCACAAGCTTCACAATCTGACTCAGAGTAGTGTCTGCACCAACATAGGTTGCCTCTATCAAGAGTAAACCATTTTCATTGATGCTCCCACCAATAACAGGTGAACCTGCAGGAAACATACCATGGTTGTAACTAAACTATGTTTACACTCAACATTTATTTTGTTATGACATTCTTATCATTTTTAAAGAAAATATTTTCATACATGAAGCTGGCTGATAGGACTCAATGAAGGCCTAAATTATCAAACAATAATAATCATTATCCAACTAAGAAAACATGGAGAAAAAACTATAAGCTAAAATGTAACTGACAACCTGAAATAATGAAATTTATTTTTCTATTACTATATATAAGGTGCAAGCTATTTGATTTCTTTTTTTTCATTATTCTAAAAATAAAACAACATAGGATTGTGTATTAAAAAAAACAAAACAAAGAAAAGTTACACCACTGTGTTTGGTGCTTTAAAGGGACCTACCAACTGTTTTAGTGACAGGCATGCTCTCCCCTGTAATCAAAGATTCATCACATGACGAATGGCCAAAAATAACCTTGGCATCCACAGGGATTTTACCACCTGGTGTCACCTTGAGGATGTCCCCTCTCTGCACCAGATCTAGGTCAATCACCCTCTCAGACATGATCTGGAAGTCTTTATCTATATCCACAAGGACAGCTTCAGAGGGTTGAAGGGAGATAAGCTTAGCGAGGGCTTCACTTGTTTTACCCTAGTTAACAGAAGAATTGAAGAATGTAAATATTATGTCACATTTCAAAACCTTTTCTTTTAAGAAAAATCAATAAAAAAAAAAAAATTAAAACCATGTTTATGCAGTAAATGAAAATTCATCATTTCCTGTTCATAACCAAGGCACATGAGGCAGATGAATTCATCTGCTTCAGAGACCTTGGCATATGAAGGGGTAGTGTGGTCAGCACTATGCCCAGCAGCCTTTGTTTTCCTAACGTAAGTTAGGTACCCATCAGAGCTGGGTCGACTCAGGGACATTCCACTGATTTAAACCCAGATTCGAACTCGAGACTCAGGTTAGCAGTCTAGCTCTCTAGCGCTAGGCCACGCCGTCCCATACATGAAAATTATATTATATTAATTATAAGATAGTGGGTAGTTATTGCTAGATGCTCTCTGCTTAGAATTTGATTCCAAAGCAAACCATTTTTTTGCCGAAACTAATAGTTGGGACCAGGGAACACTATGTTTACATTAGGATCAGTTAAGTAGACATGTTAAGGATCATCAAGCCTTGAAAGGATAGAAGGTAAATGAATAGGTCAGGGATCATGTTAGGGACTGTTATGCATAGGTTGGAGCAGGTATCAAGATACCTAGGATAGAATAAGGATTGGTGTGCTTGACATCAAGTCTTAGAAAAAATAGGCAGCTTGGCACCCAATTATGTAAAAATACCTTGAAAATGTAAATGACCTTTATGGTTTTCATCATCAAGTTACTTTTATCTAGTTACAGACAAAATAAAAAAATAAAACTAGAATCTAGACTACCTTGGCGATGTGTTCAAGCCATCTGCCTAATGATATGAACACCATGAGCATAGGGGTGGTCTCAAAAAATGTGACAGGGCTGGATTCTTCTCTTAAAATCATGGCAGCCACCACAACAGCTATAGAGTACAGGTAGGAGATGGTGGTTGCCATGACGACCAGCACATCCATGTTGGTGGAGCCATGCTTCATGACCTTGTAGGCTTGGATGTAAAAGTAGCGGCCACCCACAAACTGCTCAGGCACAAATTTACAGAAAACAAAATTGAGCATGCATATGTATATATGTGTGTGTGTAGTTGAGTATATATAAAATTAAATATATAATTAACACACTGTTAATTACACATAGAATTTTAAATACATTCTTTAAAGTTAATTTTATATACTAAATTACTATACACATAGCATTTTAAATACATTCTTTATAGTTAATTTTATATACCAAAATTACTATATCTTCCTTAAAGAATAGAGACACCTTAGAAAAATGCTAAATCTTCACTTTTCAACTCAATGGAAAGAACTACATGGAATTATAATTTTTCTATTTCTATATTGCGATGGCTAGACAACTTAGCTTGCACATAATTTATCAAAGATACAGTAAAAACCAGAGCAATGAATCACATGGGACCCACCTGGACAGGTGTGGCAAGAATAAACATGATGAGGTTGAGTACATCTAAGCCAGGGGTGATCATGATCTGCTGGTAGTGTGCCCCAGACATGCTTGTGTTACTGCTGTTCATGTGTTCCCCGTGGGAGGGCTCAGGCATCCCAAACATGAAGTACATCATGAGGATCATGGAGGGGGCACCAAATATCAGGGACCACAAGAACGATGTTCTCCATCTGTAAAGTTAAAGTAACAATTAATATAGTAAGTTAGGACCATGGAGGGTGCACCAAATATCAGGGACCACAAGAACGATGTTCTCCATCTGTAAAGTTTGTAACAATTAATATAGTAAGTTAGGATCATGGAGGGTGCACCAAATATCAGGGACCACAAGAACGATGTTCTCCATCTGCAAAGTTACACAATTAATATAGTAAGTTAGGATCATGGAGGGTGCACCAAATATCATGGACCACAAGAACGATGTTCTCCATCTGCAAAGTTAAAGTAACAATTAATATAGTAAGTTAGGATCATGGAGGGTGCACCAAATATCATGGACAACAAGAACGATGTTCTCCATCTGCAAAGTTACACAATTAATATAGTAAGTTAGGATCATGGAGGGTGCACCAAAGATCAGGGACCACAAGAACAATGTTCTCAATCTGTAAAGTTAAAGTAACAATTAATATAGAAAGTTGGGATCATGGAGGGTGCACCAAATATCAGGGACCACAAGTCTCCATCTGTAAAGTTAGAAGTAACAATTAATATAGTGTTAGGATCAAGGAGGGGACACCAAATATCAGGGACCACAAGAACAATGTTCTCCATCTGTAAAGTTAAAGTAACAATTAATATAGAAAGTTAGGATCATGGAGGGGGCACCAAATATCAGGGACCACAACAACGATGTTCTCCATCTGCAAAGTTAGAAGTAACAATTAATATAGTAAGTTAGGATCATGGAGGGGGCACCAAATATCAGGGACCACAAGAACGATGTTCTCCATCTGTAAAGTTAAAGTAACAATTAATATAGAAAGTTGGGATCATGGAGGGGGCACCAAATATCAGGGACCACAAGAACGATGTTCTCCATCTGTAAAGTTAAAGTAACAATTAATATAGAAAGTTGGGATCATGGAGGGGGCACCAAATATCAGGGACCACAAGAACGATGTTCTCCATCTGTAAAGTTAAAGTAACAATTAATATAGAAAGTTAGGATCATGGAGGGGGCACCAAATGTCAAGGACCACAAGAATGATGTTCTCCATCTAGAAATTTAAAGGGGACAACAGTTAAGATAATTTAAAATATAATAATTGTAATTATACTAAACTATGTACAGAAATATTTAAATTGAAAAACAGAAAATCAAATTTCAATAAAAATACTGTTGTAGCTCATAGAAACAAACATTCTAACATAGTTACCTTCTGTTAAGATAAACAACTGTTCTGATTACAAAAAAAGACAAACCTTTTTATTTCATCTCTGTGGTCATAACGTGAAGCCCTGTGATCATCATCTGTTCGTAGATGTGCTTCAAAGCCCAATGACTAAGAACAAATATTAAATAAAGTAAATAAAAAATTTTGATAGTAAAAAAGATAAAAATGATAAAAAAAAAAGAGTTTAAAAAATTAATTAAATAAGTATATCTAATAAATAAAGCGAATGACAAAACACATTTAGTGTGTAACATTAAAAAAGTATGCAGCTGGTAAGGGATGAACAACCTTGATGGCTTCAATGATGTCTCTGGGCCCTGTCTGTTCAGTGTCAAAGGTGAACTTGCCCGTGTTTGTGGACAAGGCTACTGAAGCTGAGATGATGCCCCGTTTCTTTTTGATGTCTGACTCAATTCTGTTGACACAGGAGCTGCAGGTCATTCCTGTTATCTGGTACCAAGAGTTATATAATAAGTACACATCACAACACTGGGATACAACCCCTGTTATATGGTACCTAGAGTTATATAATAAGTAAACATCACAACACTGGGATACAACCCTTGTTATTTGGTACCAAGAGTTATATGATAAGTAAACATCACAACACTGTGATACAACCCCTGTTATATGGTACCAAGAATTACAGGGGTAGAAGTAAACATCACAACACTGGGATACAACCCCTGTTATATGGTACCAAGAATTACAAGGGTAGAAGTAAACATCACAACACTGTCTACATAATCTACCTTTTTACGTCAAATAGGGTTTAACATTTTAAATATGGAACACCAATTACAGTGATTGTCATGTGAAAACTAAATTTATTAAGGGCCAAGCCTCAAGAAAAAAGTAATATACATGATTTTGAAAGTGGTTTGGTATTTTAGTGAGGACCAGTGTCACAATATACAGCTCACACTGTATTAAAATTTCATACTTTACTTGATATTAGCATTATTTATTACCGTCAGCTCCACTGTACCGTGTCCAAGTGATTCTCCTTCCGTCACTGAAGCGTTGAAGCCCAAATCTTCAATTTTATTAGCAATTTGACCAGGGAGTACATATGCAGGGTCATAGGTCACTTCAGCCCTTTGGGCCATTAGTGAGACCAGAATTTTCTGTACACCTAAATCAGGGTTAGTCGAGGAAAATATGTTAGACTTTGCTGATAAGTAGTGATGGAAGAATAACTCATTTGCAAATTTTAAGAAGTTAAAAAAATAATAATAATAATAAGCAAGAACAAGATTTATGGAATCAGTTTTATGTCTTATTTAAATTAAATAAATTATAGATTAAGCTAGGTGAAATAAAAGGAAAGCCTTTTTGCAAATTAAGAAGTTTTTTTATAAATAAAACAGGAGTATTTTAAAATGTGTGTCAAATACATTTTTTTTAAAAAACTTGAAAACAAATTCATTTTTGGCTTACCTTCCATTTTTTTGACATTCTTCTCAATAGTAGCTACACATGAAGCGCAAGTCATGCCAGTTACAGTCAAGAAACATTTTTCTAAATCACCATCATTGGCTAACTTGGATTTACTTTGGTCAGATTTTGGAGTCAGCTGAGTCTCGCTGATTGAGCGGGCTATGGTTACTTTCTTGTGAGTTTTTGTAATATCTGGACAAAAGGGTTATTTAGTTTTGTAATAGTCAATAAATATAAACTAATAAGAAGATTAAAAAATTGTAGGCACCTGCCAAAGTGGAAAGGTCATCATAACTGTATACAGTATATAATGAAAAATAACATTTAAATTAAGAAACAATTGTAAAATAGTTGTGCAAATAAAATCTTGTAGAACACATGAGTAAAATACAATTACAAAATTAAATATAGTTGTAAGAGAGTGAAACTACAAAATAAAAACTTATTATTTCACTCTCTGAACTAACTAAATATAGTTTTTTGATGACACACTTATTTATAAACTATTTTATTTTATTTATTTAGCAAATACTGAACGGTTTCGGTTTTCATAGATAAACCATAGCAAACGGAGACATCTAGTTACCAAGATAACCTTAAGAAAGAGGACAGATGATGAATGAATTGACTCTTCTTGATATACAAAAAGGTTTGTGATTGAAAATTAATGTATTTATCATGTAAGGTAGGCAGCTAAGGCAACTACCAAATTAATTTTTTACTGGCTGTGAAAGAATTAAGGGTTAGAACTAATATAACTAATGTCAGTGAATGTACTGAAGGGTTATAATTAAAATAGTTTTAGTGTATGATCCTTATAAATACAGGTAAACTATCTGAATGTTGCCCAACTTACCTGGTAGACTTGCTTCAAAGCCCATGTCATTAATGAGATCACACAGCTGGTCAGGACTCGTTTCATTGGGGAGGTACTCAATGGTTCCCGTCTGCTCCGCCAGAGAAACTCTAATGCTGACGACAGCGGAGTGTTTTCTCATGTTGCCCTCGATTGTGTTCACGCATGAGTTGCAGGTCATTCCGCGAATGTCCAGCACCGTTTTCTTAGGCGACCCAGTGAGGGAGACATTTCTATTTAGATTTTCATCCTCTTGTTCGTGTGCCTCAAACCCCATGTCATCTATCTGACCAGCGATTGTTTTTGGATTTGTTAACTGAGGGTTGTAGGTTACTTTGGCTTCTTTGTTTGAAAGACTAACACTGATGTTTAGAATCCCTGGTTGTGAGGACATTGTCCCCTCAATGTTTTTAACACATGACTGACAAGTCATACCTTCTATTTTTATACAAGCTACGGAACTGGTAGAGTTTGATGGTGAGTGTGTTAGCAGTTTAGCTTCAAATCCCATATCGTTTATAGCATCTTCAACTTCCAGTGGTTTTATTCTTGACTGGTCAATACTGACAGTTGCTTTTTTTTCTTCCAAGGAAACTGTGATGGATTTAATGCCATCTTTTTTAGACACTGTGCTCTCAATGTTGCGGACGCATGACATACATGTCATGCCTTCTACGGATAGATGGATGGTGAGCTCATCCACATCCACTAGGGGTGTGGTTTCCTCGATGCGTTTGACCATGGCTGGGAATCCGTTGGCTGTCGCAGCTTGTGCTAAGGATGGAGGGCTAGTTTTCGTTGGGCTGTAGTGAATGCCAGCTTCCTTTGTTTCAAAGCTCACCTGTTGGGATAGTGGTCAGATTATTAGCATTTGTACTCAGATTTTGTGTAAACTGTAATATTATGTAAAATTATGTCAACATCAAAATATAATTTTAAAAATGAAACAACTGAGAAAATATTAAACTTCTGATTTGAACAGCAATTAAAAAAGTAAAGATAACATATCTTTTTCATTGTTTAATTTAAATTTAAATGTGTTTTTATAATATAAATAATTATTGCTGTCATATATGAGTATAATGAAGTTTTATGTGTACCCATCAAATTTATATTAACATTACTTTAAAATCAATAAAATTAAGAAGGATTGATTTTAATCTTATTATGAAACTAAAGATTTTTATGCTAATTTATATATTTTAAATAACTTAAAAAGAAATGCATTTATTTAAGATTCCATATATGGAAATATACCTTAAACTTCTAGTTATAGCCCAGCATACAACTAAATGACTATGCATTATTTAAATAGCACAGTTAAAGTGTAGTGTATGAACACAGTGACAATAGAAATGAATTCATCCACTTGAAAGCACTTCATTTTTAAAAGCACCACATAATACAAAATTTTCCAATGCAACAATAAAAGAATAAAAGTCACACTTTTATCTAAAAATCAGACAATTGTACCTTTCTGACCAGTGTATATTGTTGTCGGTATTACCTAGATCAGAATCTGGATGAAACAGGACAATGTCAAGTGTGAATAAGGGAGCCCTAGTTTCTTTTTGTGCGCTAATATAAAGGTAAAACTATGTAGGGCACGTTCAGCTCTAATCTATAGAATGTTACATCTTACCTATGTGCTGACAGGAGTGTCATGATCCAGGTCAGTAAATTTGACACACAAGTGTCAGTGTGTATGTATACTTGCAAATGGCCTTGAGTTTGCTCCCTTAGATGGGTGCAAGATGTGGTATGTTCTCTATCTATAGGTTGTATGTCTGTATGCTGTGTTGGGTGTGTTCTGTATGAACTGTATGTTTAGATATGTTGAATGTGTTCTGTATTAGATATATTTGTAAGATGTGTTCTGTATTAGCCATATGTGTTAGCTATCTGTGTTACACATGTTGTCTTGTGTTCTCTATTAGCTGTATGTATGTATGATGTGTAGTGTGTGTTCTTTAAAAACCATATGAATGAAAGATGAGCTAAAAATTTCTGTATCAGCTAAATATATATAATAATCAGGTAGTAGTTTATGATGAGTTATTATCTGAATTAACTATATGTATGTAATATCTGTTGATTATGTTGTACTTTAGCTATATGTGTGTAACATGTGTTATGTCTGAATTAACTATATTTAAGTAATACATGTTGAGTATATTATTTATATGTGTAAGATGTGTTGAATGTGTTCTGTATTAGCTACATGTGTGTAAGATGGGATGAGTATGTTCTCTACAAATAGTTATTTAGTTCATGAGAGCAAGTGTAACAAAATATAAGGCATATCTAAAGCCTTGGGGTACTTTCTTGCTAACTAAAATCAGTGAAATCAAGTTTTGCCCCTTAGGGTTAGAGACATTGGTCAAATAACTTTAAAAAGAATATCAGATTATGACACTTGACAGTAGATTGTAACAACACTTGTGGGATATAAACAGTTTATATGCAACATGAATCAAGTGGATTGACTAGGACATAACAAAAAAAAAATGGGTAATAGTTAATAGATTTAATTAAGTTGTCTTGGCTGTAAACAGAGTTTCTTCCAGGCATCTCTTCGGGGGGCTTTGCCGAAAATTTTTTACCGCCCCCCGAACGAAATGAAATTTATATAATTTATATAGAAAATATATACTTTTAACAGTGTCCGCCCCCCCCAAAGAAAGTTTACCGCCCCCCCCCCCCCCCCCCGAAGATTTCAAGTGCCCCCCGGAGAAAAAAGTCTGGAAGAAACACTGGCTGTAAAGCACCATATACCACCCAAAACACATCTGCAGCACTAGGGATTACCTTCATACTTTTACTTAAGCCCTGATATTAAAACCAGAGAGTTGTCCTTAAATGACATCACACTGTGAGTGAGTGGAGGGGGGGGGGGGGAGGGGGGGGGGGAGAAGAGAGCTATAATCGAATGGAACTCATGGTTTAGTGGTTGGGGGGGGGGGTGGAGAGGTTGCACATATTGGTTGATTTAGGGTGTCTAGATTTAAGTGACCACTGGTGCCTATAATGGGTGGGGGGAAGCCAACATAGGCCTGATGTTTATTTATGGAGACATGGTCCCCCTAGCCACAGTCGGACCACACCACAAGCAAGTTACACATACTTTAATGTATGTTTACAAACTTAACATAGGCTAAACGGGGGTGGGGGCGGGGTGTTCACTACAATACGCATGTTTCCTCACGTTCTCCATTCCTGTTATTGTAAACCTACAAGCTAAATTAAACAAACAGGCTCATATACCCAGGTCAATGATCTATTAATTTTCCCAACCTAAGGGGTTTGAACTGGCTTGCAAGGGGTTATCACTCTCGTTTACTGCAGGTAGCTCTAATCATACACAGTATCACATTTATCTACCCTTATCTGCAGGGCTCCAAGTAATGAAAACCATCCTAGGCTTCTAACATTCCAATCAGTGATTAGTCTTCCAAAACAACTAGATCTAGATCTAGAGTTCTAAATCTAATATTTATAAACTCGATTCTAGCGCTGGGGGAGGAGGCTTCTATCGAGTAGTCACTTCGTTAATGTTAATATTATTGGAATGGCAGGGTTTAAAAAAAAATGATTTTTAGAAATAAAAAAAGAAATAGCTAACATAAAACATGGTGTAAACCTATAGATATGATATAGTTCTAGCTCTATATAATAATCTATAACATTCTTTTAAAGCAATTCACGCGACCTACAAAACTGGATAAAACAAGGATATGCCTAGATTTCTACACACTGCATGCGGATCAGCACACATGTCCCACATGATAATAATCTTAATCTAAACTGACCTAAATTTTGAAACAAAAATCAAGGGGAATATCGTGCGTCTATTGGGTTTAAATTGTAAAGTAATGAGTATCACGTCATATAGATAAGCCTTACATTTTTTTTTCTAGCTAGACTAGACTAGTACCACGCAGTACCATACACCGCTACAATGTGTAACCTATTATTGATTCACACAGTTCGTACGGATTTGACCTTTAACCTGGTACGTCTGTTTTATTTCTCGCCAATAGAACAGCAAACGTTACCTTAAAATGTGGTGTTGTCTAGTGTTTTTACGTCTATGTCCTACTATTTGAACGTGGTCTTACACAATAAAAATGTTCAAATGTATTTAAACCAACGTAAACAGCAAGTCATCTTCCGTAGGATGCAAGTCAGCTGACAAGGCGCTAAAAATAGATCGTAACTAGGTCATTATTATCTCACTTGACCATGTTCATTTCTGGCATTAACGCGTTGAAGTGGGCGTGTCGCGTGACTTAATTAACGAATACGGTGCACAATTAACAACAGGGATGATTTAAAAAAAGGTCCAAGTACTTTCTCTCTATATATACCGAGGAACGATCAGCAAATGAATCACCCCCAAGAATAACATAAAAATAGAATTTCTGGAAGCTACCAGATGTTTACATCGGTCAGCGCATGTGTATTGACCACTAGCGTAATGGAAAAAACAAAAGTGTTGTGTCATGGTTAGTCTATTTATAGAATCGGATATTCATTATTTTGTTCTAAGTAAACAAACATACATTGTTTAAACTAATACACTGTCTGTTTGTCTTTACATTAATTTGTCTGTCTATCTATTTGTTTACCTATATTATGTGTACCTGTCAGTCCATCCATCAATCAAGCCACCCAGCCAACGATCAATCTATCAAACTTAATTGGTTTGTAAATATCCAAACAAGGAACAATCGGGTCCTTCTGACCCCCCCCCCCCCCACCCCTTTTCCACGAAAGGATAAACGAAAAACAGATAAAATCCAGATATCTATCTATTTATCTATCTATCTATCTATCTATCTATCTATCTATCTATCTATCTATCTATCTATCTATCTATCTATCTATCTATCTATCTATCTATCTATCTATCTATCTATCTATCTATCTATCTATCTATCTATCTATCTATCTATCTATCTATCTATCTATCTATCTATCTATCTATCTATCCATATATATATATATATATATATATATATATATATATATATATATATATATATATATATATATATATATATATATATATCTCACTAAAAGGTCAAGGCTAAGAAGAAGACAGTAAATGTCAGGTACTTGATCAATGCACTTACCCTAAGCTTCTGATAACCTTTTCTCCCAGACAACATGTTGTTCGTTCACGTCGACGGCTACGTTAGAAATCCACAACACGACCTACACATCACTTAACTCACACCGACACAGTCTGAATATCAGTCCTGGACACAGAGCACCTTATAAGAGAAAATATTCCACATTTCGGTACACGCCTACCCCCACGTTTGGTCAGTTGCACAACAGACGTGCACCGGCCACGCGACCAACTACTAGCAGCGATGACCCGTAAGTGTCCGAGCGGTTGCTACGCGGACACGACAGTCCGGCAGACGACACTCGACTAAGATAAACACACATCAAAGTTACAGGTTAACCTGTCCCAAAACAGGGGGAATGAATGCACACGTTAAAGGAAAGTCCCCTAGGCTTGAATTAAAAAAATATTTAGAGAACAGGATACACTATTGGCAGGTAGAGACAAATTGAGGAAAAGTTCACGCTTGGTAATTAATCTCAATGACCGGCTCCTACACACCTACAGCAAGATAATCCACTGAAAGATTTTCCATCAACTTAATCCACTAAAAGATTTGTCATCAGTTTAATCCACACAGAGACCTGCCAACAAAGAAATCCACAAAAAAAAAAAAAAAACATTGCCAAAGGCGAGTCCTAAACCAAGACACGCAAGGCCAAATGGGTTAAAATAAAGACTGACTATTCAAACAACTAGACGGTGTGTGTGTGTGTGTGTGTGTGTGTGTGTGTGTGTGTGTGTGTGTGCGTGTGTGTAAGCTGAGGTGATTGACTTGCGTGGCTAGTGATTGACTTGCGTGGCTATTGATTGAAAAAATTCCACTTCATACACACTTAAGAGACCAGGCATTGAAGCTTCACCTGTAAGACACGGTCCTGGTTAAATAATAGCAATTTACTGAAGAAATCGAATCGGGTATAACAACCAATGTTAAATCATACACAGTCGCCAATTAATGTGCAGGTTGTTGTACTTAACTGACCTCACTGTACATTTGGGGAAATGAAGAGAAAAGACTACAAGTAAATTTTTTTTAAGGTAGAAACAATTCGCTTTTTCAAAACAATTATACATTGATCAGTATTAAACGATGGACACAAAAAAATCTGAACCAAAAGAAAGAAACTACGAGTACAAAACATAACAAGTAGCCCGCTCATTACATGGCAAGAATAAAATTTAGACTAACATAAACAGACCCTATCCCTAACAAAAAAAAAAAAAAAAAATAACACCTGTACGTCTGATTTACGTGCGAAGGTCCCGATCAATACAACAGATGTATACCATTCAGTAAAGACTCGCCGTGGACCTTTAGGTGGTCACTTCCCGTATTGAACACGTACATTCAGTGCGCTAGCAGATCTATACACTAGACAACATACTGAATGGACACCTGACATATAGACACGTACAATGGTGTTGCACAATGCTTGTGTGTCAAAAGCGTGTGATCACACCTATTTTAGTAGAATCAAATGAGGTGGACGTGCATTCTAAAAAACCCAGCTCGATAGAAATGACATCTATCTATCTATCTATCTATCTATCTATCTATCTATCTATCTATCTATCTACCTACCTACCTACCTACCTACCTACCTACCTACCTACCTACCTACCTACCTACCTACCTACCTATCTATCTATCTATCTATCTATCTATCTATCTATCTATCTATCTATCTATCTATCTATCTATCTATCTATCTATCTATCTATCTATCTATCTATCTATCTATCTATCTATCTATCTATCTATCTAATTATCTATCTATCGGTCTGTCTGTCTGTCTGTCTGTGAATAAATTTGTATGTATGTATGTATGTATGTATGTATGTATGTATGTATGTATGTATGTATGTATGTATGTATGTATGTATGTATGTATGTATGTATGTATGTATGTATGTATGTATGTATGTATGTATGTATGATTGCTCAATGCTTTTGAAAATATATAGGCCCTAATACACACTAATATCTATAATAATAGTTTCGCTGTCTCTCTATCTATCTATCTATCTATCTGTCTGACAAGAACGCTCTAGAGAAAAGACAAGCAATTTAAAAACATGCACAGTAATTCGAAAAACGAAGTATGACGTCGACACATTTAGCACAGAGTAGAAAATAATCTCAAACCCAGAGAGTGCTCACAGTTATATGACGTCATTGATTTTCGCGTTAACATTGAATAAAAAGGAAATGTTGTCTAATCTTAATGGTTTGCGTGAAGAGTTTCTTGCATACAATTCTTCGGGTAGGGGCGAAGCCCCACCCCCCGCGTAAGAACGTCTGAGCCCCCCCCCCCTCCCCAACTCAAAAGAAATTTCTTCATCGATACTCTATAATAAAATTACCGCCTAATTAATGTGTCTAATCTAAAAAGTGGTTTTCTCGCAATTTCTTTAATGCAATTCTTCGCGTAGTGGCTAAGCGCGACACCAGTGTTTCTTTCAGACTTTTTCCTCCCCGGAGAGCGGTGGGGGGTACTTGAAATTTTCGGGGGCGGGGGGTAAAATTTTCGGGGAGGGGGCGGACACTGGAAAAAGTATATAATTATATTTCGTTGAATGGGACGGTAGACATGTTTTTTGGGGGGGTGGGGGTGGGGTGGGGGTGGGTGGCGGTGGGTGGGGTGGGGGGGGGGGGCTGGTGTGTGGGGTGGGTGTGGGGTGGGGGGGTGGGGGGTGGTGTGTGTGTGGGGGGGGGTGGGTTGGTTTTAGTTTAGAGAAAAGAGACAGCACTATCAACCTAGCGCCCGGTGTATCCTTCCTCAACGGGCCATTTTTCTCGTCTATAATAATAGTTTTCGCTGTCTCTCTATCTATCTATCTATCTATCTGTCTGACAAGAACGCTCTAGAGAAAACACAAGGAAAATAAAAACATGCACAGTAATTCGAAAAACGAAGTATGACGTCGACACATTTAGCGCACAGAGTAGAAAATAATCTCAAACCCAGAGAGTGCTCACAGTTATATGACGTCATTGATTTTCGCGTTAACATTGAATAAAAAGGAAATGTTGTCTAATCTTAATGGTTTGCGTGAAGAGTTTCTTGCATACAATTCTTCGGGTAGGGGCGAAGCCCCACCCCCCGCGAAAGAACGTCTGAGCCCCCCCCCCTCCCCAACTCAAAAGAAATTTCTTCATCGATACTCTATAATAAAATTACCCGCCTAATTAATGTGTCTAATCTAAAAAGTGGTTTTCTTGCAATTTCTTTAATGCAATTCTTCGGGTAGTGGCTAAGCGCGACACCAGTGTTTCTTTCAGACTTTTTCCTCCCCGGAGAGGGGTGGGGGTAATTGAAATTTTCGAGGGCGGGGTTAGAATTTTCGGGGAGGGGGGGCGGACACTGGAAAAAGTATATAATTATATTTCGTTGAATGGGACGGTAGACATGTTTTTTTTGGGAGTGGGGGGGGGGGAGTGGGGGTGGGGGAGGTGTGAGTGGGGGGGGTGGGTGGGGCGGTGGTTTCCTCATCGATACTCTATAATAAAATTACCGCCTAATTAATGTGTCTAATCTAAAAAGTGGTTTTCTCGCAATTTCTTTAATGCAATTCTTCGCGTAGTGGCTAAGCGCGACACCAGTGTTTCTTTCAGACTTTTTCCTCCCCGGAGAGCGGTGGGGGTACTTGAAATTTTCGGGGGCGGGGGTAAAATTTTCGGGGAGGGGGCGGACACTGGAAAAAGTATATAATTATATTTCGTTGAATGGGACGGTAGACATGTTTTTTGGGGGGTGGGGGTGGGGTGGGGGGGACTGGTGTGTGGGGTGGGTGTGGGGGTGGGGGGGGTGGTGTGTGTGTGTGGGGGGGGGGGTGGGTTGGTTTTAGTTTAGAGAAAAGAGACAGCACTATCAACCTAGCGCCCGGTGTATCCTTCCTCAACGGGCCATTTTTCTCGTCTACATAATATTTAAATAGCCTACATAGCCCTGCATACAAATATACAGTATTTTCGGAGGAGAAAGGCAAAATTCTAAATCTATATAGGGCCGTCATAATCGACTCCTCCCCCTGCCCCCGGGCAATGATGTGTGGGGTTAGTGTCGCAGCTACATACACTTTAATGATGTATTTGCACTATTAAGATAAATAAATGACGTGTATCTAAAGTCGACACACTTGAAGAGAGTTGTTTAAATCAGAAATATCTAGCATAACAGCGAAGATGAATATGCTCAACACACTACACAAACCCTGTTCTGATTGTTTAACGCTGAGAAGTGTCTCTTTAGGTAAACTCGCGGAGTTTGGTGTTTGACTTCGGGAGTAGAAACAGCTTCTGTTATAATGAAACGTGCCCTAGTACTAGAATGATAAATATGCCTGCTTGAGTCTATCTAGTTCAAGGATTAGGAACACTATGCTTAAAACAAGCGAAATTGTGGAATATGTCTCATTAACAAACACAATCAATTGTGAAACAAACCTGTCTATTCGCACGACGCATCCACACAAGCTATATACATTAACGAACATTAATCACCATTCTACACTAAACGATAGATAAAATCACATGACAGGGTAAAACCACCTTAATAAGATCAGCTATAAAAAATGTAAAAAAAAAGAGAATAAATGTATAGCTTGGGGCATTTCGCAACACTTTGACAAGGGCCGAAGGAAAACACTAAGGCCCTACTTTCTACTGACTAACGGTCAGGTTTAAAGTGTTTTCTGTAAGTGCGTGAGATAAAACTCTTGTTGAAGGCACAATTACGTGAGAGATTAGTCAACGGCATTGGGGTGAGGGTGGAGGGGTTGTCTATCTTTGGACAGTTTTATATTACAGATGGCACTAAGGCTGTCTTTGGATGTTAATCCAAGAACCCCCCCCCCCCAATAAAAAAAAACTGCTTAAAAACAAAATCTAATTAAAAAAATACAATTTTAAACAATAAAAACAAAAACTAATGATGCTAACGTTAACAGTATTATATACACGATATTAACATTAATTAAAAAAAAAACCCACCTAATAGTAATCATTCGAATCTTAATTCAACATCATACCAAAAATCATTTTGAAAAAAAAAAATTAATAAACTTAACGTCCCCTATACTTCAACTTATCTCAAAGTTAGACCCGAATAACTGTACACCTAAAACCTCTTACACAACCTTTCAAAGGTTTTGAAATAGAAAATATATAAACGTTGCCCAAAATAAAGTAAAACTAAAGATATACAATAAATCATAACATTGACACTAACCTATATTAACATCACAACCCCGCCCCCCCCCCCCCCCCCCCAAAAAAAAAGGAAGTTAAAATATGTTATAAAACCAAAACAATAAATATGACCTT